TTTATTTATTTATTTATTTAGAGGACAGTGCACATTAATGAACATTGCTGTAAATGTGCCGGTGTTAGCCAAAGGCTAATTTTCAACTGTAGTCCTCCGGCATGATGTTAAAAAGACCTCAGGCCATTAAAAAACACAAAAACAGGAACACAGGAGTCATAATATATAAAACAACAAATTGCAAACAAAAACAGGGACACATAAGTCATAATATGTAAAACAAATAATAAACAGATAGACAATAATTCACAACGAGAAACCAATACGTACAGTGCAGTATGATACAGTGCAGAATAGTTGATCGAGAGGCTATGGATAGTGAATAGATGAAACAATGCAAGTCCATCAGTCACTGGCATAGTGTATATGATATATATGATATATTTGCATGTATATTCAAGAAAATATACATGCAAAGATAGAAAAAAAAATTAGTTGTGTTGAAACTTACATAAGTCAGTGATAGGAGGGCATACAGTAAGTCTGACTGTTGGAGGAAAAAGTGTTACCTTTCAAATAAGACCGTGCATGTACATACAAAATGGAACATGAGCTGCTATCAGTTTACTTTTGGTATGCCTTAGATAGGCATTTGAATTTTATGAATTTTATAGGACCACTAAGAGGTAAAGACGATTAACCTCTTGGCGCTGCATGCTTTCAGTAGCATTTATTAATGTGGAAATTAACATCAATACCTAGGATGTGTTGGATAAGACCATAAGCAAGATAATTGGTGTGATACAGTAAATGTATCTTATTACAGTGTTGGGGAAGGTTACTTTTAAAAGTAACTTATATTACATTAAGTACATTGTAAGAGTACTGCCAACTAAAAGTAACCTCTTTCATTAAAATGTTACCTACTGAGAAAAGTAAATAAATTAGTCAGTTTTGCTTTACCAGAATGAAAAACCCCTTTTGTGATTCCGTGCGAATGTTGGTTATTTTGTCTAGAGGGTGCATAGTCTACTGCAACCTACCCTTTAATGTATTAACATGTCAAGAAAGGAAATATTCTTATTGTTTTCCATATTGTACAGAATATTATAATCGTACACCTTCTGAATTAGAGTTTGTCTCTTTCACTGATTATCATAATGGCTGTTATCTCATCATTCACAACAGAAACAAAACTGACCAAAGCCATCTTTGTTAGTCTTCCCACTGTTCCAACAATCACCAGCTCTGGTTTGGTCCAAATAAATACTTAATTTGCCAAGTGAGATGTGAAACAATGCTGGATTTGCACACTGCTTATCCCTGATGTCTCTCTCTGCCAGCTGAACAGTGGCGCTCAGTCGTTCTCAAGAATGAAAAAGGGCAATCTTTATATCCAGTCATCCAATAACTGATATATTTGTCCAGTCCCACAACCCCAGTACTTGACAGGTGGCAACAGTGCAACTTTTTGAGTGCTAATAATCTGACAGCAAACTCAGCAGAGGCATTTAGGTACAGCCTACACTGGCCTCGAAGAAAATAATGAAAGCACAGGCTCATGTAACTTATAGCACATCATCTTTCAATTAAAATGTAATTAATGGCAAAGTGTGAAACAGGGAAATATGGTAGTGTTTTGAAAAGTATTGGATTGCCTACTCTAATGCATTCCCCCCAACATAGATCTTATCACAGTGGCATTGTTACATCAGATGTTTCTCAACACGAAGACATCAGTAAAGACTTTTTTCTGTTCTCCTGCAACCCTACAGATTTCTGACAAAATGCCTCCCTGACATGCACGAAGACAAATGCAGAGGAGAGGCTGTCAGTGCTCTCTTTGATGGTCTAGTGTTGAAATGATTTACTGACATTAAAGTACTTCACATAACACTCTTAACTAAAGTGTTCCTGAGCAGCAGAGAATTTCTCTCAGTAGGAAGTGTTGGAGGTGGTGAGGGTCACGCAGAGCTCAGCCTCTGGGTTGTGTCCTGCAGGGAGAGGAAGTGACAGTTTGTCTGCTATTGATTGCTTCTGTTGTCTGAAAATCCCCCGTGGACAGACAAACTCCTTCATGCTTTCTCTCTTTGTATCCAGATCCTCCAGTTTGCTCAGAGTCTGTGCTGTTTCAGATAGCTTCACACCTCTGAAATTAGCTCACAGTGGAAAACTACAATTATCTCTGGTCATTGAAATTCACTGATAACATTGCAAGAACTACATCATCATGAATAAGTGTTATGTCACCCCATTTCATCAGCTTTTGCCTTGTCACTCTGCTTAGTTTTTCGTTTAGTATTCATATGACATCCCAAACTAATAGCACAAAGCTGGAGTTGTGTGAATAACCTGCCAAATACCACAGAAAAAGATCCAAAACAATTACGAGTGACACGGTGGGGGCTATTGTCTGATAATACGGCCATTGTTGTGATATCGCCTGCAGCAAAGTTAATCATATTCAGTTCTGTGGAGTCTGGCTGTCCTTGCTGTGGGAGAATAAGTGCTTTGTGTTATCCTTTGTCTCCATTGTCAACAAACACTAACGCATGAGAAAAAAAGACAAAGGAGGAGGAGCTACAAAGTGATCTCATGAGATATATCTGAGCTCTTGTGTCTGTGTGTCCTGCACAGCCTCTGCCTGTAGTACAGTTGCACATATGCTGCAGTATTAATACACCTGGAGACACCTACAGAAAAGATATGACAAACCTTTGATGCAAGACTTTAAATCAAACATTTCTTTTCAAGCCACTCGTCTTTGGCTGTGAAGAACTGAAAGCATGAGGGCTGTGATGTGGCTACAAAATGAGCTGATGTTTCTGCTCATTTCTAAAGTTCACTCGTTGAACTCTACACTAATAACTCTCCTGAATTTCAAAGTTACCTGGTGCTTTTTACTGGCAGAGTAAGAATACATACATTTCAATGGGCAAACTTTTTTTTTCTCTTCTCTCTGCAGTATTTCGTCTTTGACTTCCACGTCCCTCCTGATGTCATGTTTGATAAGATCATCAAACTCTCCGTAAGTAATCTTTACCCCAAATGTGCACGCTGCAGTACTTAAACCTCTCAGCATTCTTTTGTTACATGAGTTGTGAACATTAGAAGGACTTCGTTGCATAATTTTATGTTTTAATAATGAAATACATGGATCCACAAAAGGATTGTGCAGCTTTTATGGCCGCTAGACCTGCAGAAATAAGACAAAAATAAATTGTGTAATTCTCAAAGCACTCTCAAAAGGTAAAATGCAACCTAACCACGCTGCCAAGCAGGTATTTATATTTTTATTACTATTTTTTTCACCTTTATTCAACTAGATAAGTCTATTAAGAATAAATGCTCATTTACAAAGATGACCTGGCCAAGAGGCAGCAACATGAGGCATGAAGACATTAAGGTGCTGTGTCCACCAAAGCATTTTTCATGAGGCCAACATATTTTTTTAATGCTTTACAAACGCCGTCAGCGTGACAAGGTGCTAAGAGTGACTTCTGCATTGAGTGCTGCTGGTTAGGCTTTTTTTTTTTCCCTGAGCACCAAGAGTTAAAAACATGTTCTTTGGGTGTAAAAGCTGCACTTGTCACTGTCACTTCCGCTGATTAATCAAAGTGGGGCAGGGACAAATACCACAAAGACAAACTGACTGTCACATCTGTACAAGTACTATCTATATATATATGTATATATATATATATATATATATATATATATATATATATGATGTTTTCTCACCTGAATCCACACAGACCTGTGGGTCCGTCCTTTCTTTCTGAATGCTTCACCATTCCCCTTATCCTTAAGGAAGTACTCTGCCTTGTGCCGACACGTTTACTTCAGTGGATATTCCATACCATAACACCCAGATGCCACTGAAGCGTGTCAGCTGAAAAAATGCTGCACCTCCAAAGCGCTCTCAAATGTTGGGCTTTTCCTGAGGAGCACCTGGTGTTTTCATCTGGAAAAAACACATTGGTGGACATGGCCCGTACTATAAAACAACAATGGATTTGGCATGCATTTGGTGAATAACTAGCCCCTTTTTTATGCAAATTAACCATATTGCAAAAATACTCCCATTCACGAAGATCAGGGCAAATAGGCACACACAGTTAAAGTAAAATTAGTTATTAGTTACTGAAGCACACTGACAGACTGGGGTATTAAATCCCAAATACGGTTTCTCTGTGTAAAGTTGCCCCTGCATCTCATCGATCAGGACCTGTGGGTCATGATCTGAAAATTTCAGTTTTGTTTTTCACTCTGCCATTGGTTTGCCAGCTGTGTTATCGGTGCAAAGCCAACAGTTATATTTTGCCGCATGAATAATTGCAATCAGACCTAAAAAAGGGCAAATTGCACTCAGCTGCAAAATTAAATGGCCATGTTTGAGCTGTAATATCAATAGCGCAGTATATTTTATGAACTGGACCTTGAGATGGGGCAGATAGCAGCTGAAACTGTCAGCGGCCGCAATCTATTCTTGGTGAATTCCCCCCTGAATGTTTTGGACATAAGTCCTTAAAACTTTATGGTACATGGAAGAGTAGATATTATGGCACTTTGGTATGTATAAATAAATGTGAAGACATAAAAAGATATGGCTGGTTACTGCATTAATTTGGTTAATTAATGATCTCACAGTAACTGGTTATGTTTAATGTACAATGGTGAAGTCATTATGCAGCCCCTTGTTAAACATAAAGTCCAGAACCATCTGTTTCCCCTTATCACACACTTGTGAATTATTTATCGCTGTTTCCAGTACAACTGTGAATCCTTCAGAGTTTGCTCTTCGTTTTAATATTTCATTCTCAATTCTGTCTGCCTAGGTTATTCACTCTAAAAATCTTCTTCGGAGTGGAACATTGGTGGGAACCTTCAAGATGGATGTTGGGACCGTTTACTCGCAGCCTGGTAAACTCACTGTAGCCACAATATCCATTTAGTAACTGATCATAACATACATGCAATGTATATTTGAAATTAAAATACACTAAGTGTTTGGTTCATTTTCATTGTGAAGTGAAGCTGGATTTTATCAAAGCTGTTAGTGACTAATTGACTGATGTCCATCCCAGAACATCAGTTTTACCACAAGTGGGCTATCCTGTCTGATCCTGACGACATAACAGCGGGATGCAAAGGATATGTGAAGTGTGACATCGCTGTGGTCGGGAAGGGTGACAACATCAAGACCCCACACAAGGCCAACGAGACCGATGAAGACGACATAGAGGGGTAATAAGCTGTTACTGATGTGTTTCAGATTGAATGGATTTCAAGGAATACAGCGGTCAATTAAAATTACCATTTTACTCATGGAAAGGGGCACAACTGATATGCAAATAATTCTATATAGGAGACATTTAAAAGGGTTTTCTGCTTCATGTCCTTCAATTCAAATTCTTATTTTACAGTATCTCTTACAGTATAAGTCCAGCACTGATAAATATTTCATACCAAAGCTGTGTTATACTTGAAAGGATTACTTGCTGGACACTGTCACCCACTATCTTTTAAAAGCTCATTCCACGAGCTATACGTTTCTTAAATTGAATCAATACCTCCACAGTCCTGTCTCTGAATGAGTTTCTGTGCTGCTGCTTGTTTCTAGGAACCTCCTGCTCCCAGAGGGCATCCCAGCAGAGCGGCAGTGGGCGAGGTTTTATGTGAAGATTTACCGCGCTGAGGGACTTCCTAAAATGAACACCAGCATCATGGCTAATGTGAAGAAGGCCTTTATAGGAGAGAACAGAGACCTGGTGGATCCCTACGTTCAAGTGCAGTTTGCTGGGCAGAAAGTAATTCCCACCACAACCTGAATTCTCTTGTTCTCTGCTAGTTTCTAGTGGTTGTTTGTCCCCCGAGGATTATCGCTGCTCCTTTAGAACACGCTGTGGTTTTGATAATGCGTGCATCTGTAGTGTGGATTTTCAAAGCTGTACTGCAATTGTTTAACTCATAACTATAGATATTATCATAAGGGAGCAGCATGCATAGCTTTGATTGGAAAACATTAAAGGGATAGTGCACCCAAAAATGAAAATTCAGCCATTATCTACTCACCCATATGCCGACGGAGACCCTGGTGAAGACATTGTCCGAGATGATGCATCTTCCTCTCAGACACTGCCACCAGGGAATCCATCTCCACCCCCACAGCATTACTGGGTTTATGGATCAGTTTGTTGGCTCTGTTGACATCTGCTGTCCCAACACACAACAGCAAACAGGATGGCACTGGCCACCACAGATACATAAAGCATCCTCAGTGTTTGGTCGGCAGGTGTTAAAGGACCTTAGACCTTCTTGTAGAGGGCTTCACTGTTCTTAGCCCAGTCCAGTTTATAGTCAGTGTCCACTTCCTGGTTTTGTAGCACTCCACAATGTCCATGCTGACCCTCTGGATGGAAACAGGGGTCACTGGTGCCTTTGCCCTCTTCAGGTCTACAGCCAGCTCCTTTGTCTTTATCACGTTGAGGTGGAGACGTGACGAAATAACTCATCACAGCCCTGTACTTAGCCTCATCACTGTTGCTGATAAATCCAACTATAGCAGAGTCATCAGAAAATGTCTGAAGATATCAGGACTCTGTAAGATAGTTGAAGTCTGTGGCGTAGAAGGAGAAGAGGAAGGTAAAAAGGACTGACCCCTGCAGGGCTCCAGTGTTGCTCATCACTGTGTCTGACACTCAGTATTGCAAGTGCACATACTGTGGTCTGACAGTCAGGTAGTTGACAGTCGAGGGCACACGGGGGGCATCCACCTACATCGAGCTGGCTGGGTGGTGTTGAAAGCACTGGAGAAGTAAAAAAAAATAAAAACATGACCCTCACATTGCTCATCGACTCATCCAGGTGGGCGTACACACCACTAAGCAGATAAATGATGCCATCCTCAATTCCCAGTCAGGGCTGGTGAAATAGATTTCTAGTTCTGTTGAGCCTTAAGTATTATGCTTTAAATGTTTGAGCTTGAACTGTGCCGTTACATCGTCTAGCCAGTGTTTATGAGATGGAGATTCAGTTTTTTCTTTATTTTATCTGAGGAATCTGAGGAGCCGACTTCGAGCATGGGTATAGAGAAGGCCACAAATCGCTCTCGTCTAGCTGTGATCTTTATGTTCTCATTGACGCCCTTGAATGTGTGCGGCAGAAGGTTAGGATCAATAACAGAGCCACACATATTTGAGAGGGTTTTAAAAATGCACTCCTAAAAATCATTCAGCTGTGCTCAGGTCCAAAATAGTGTCTGATTGTGGGTGCCTGGATAACGCCAGATGGAGCCATATAAAGTGAAATAGCTCCTTTAATCTTACTATTATTAAAACACTATCAGCAACTATAACACAAGGACGAGAGCCACATAACTGACTGTACTTTATACCTCGTACTTGAGTGTTACTCCTCCATGTGTCCAGGGGAAGACTTCAGTCCAGAAGAGCAGCTATGAACCGATCTGGAACGAGCAGATCATCTTCACCGAGCTGTTCCCTCCACTCTGCAAACGCATGAAGATCCAGATACGAGACTCTGATAAGGTCAACGACGTCGCCATAGGCACCCACTTTGTTGACCTACGCAAGATCTCAAATGATGGTGACAAAGGTAGGTCAGCACACATACACACACACACAGTTTGTCTCATTAGCATTGATCAGCTGTCAGACACATTAATTAGTCAGTCGTAACTAGTTAATATTTTACCGCATGTAGTAATTAGCTGTGCTGCAGTCGATTGTGAATTGAACCACATCGTGACCCACCTGACCTGCTGCCAACAGCTGCATGAAATTTAGTGGATGACATTCAAATTGACTTGAAATCTATGCATACATTACCATATATTAAATCAGAGTGAAAGATTCAGCACACCATCCTCTTCGCTAAAGATATTACTTTGTCATCTCCATGGCAACATGATAACTTCCAGAGTTGAATCAAGAAACAATAGGCTACAGTATTGATACTGTATAAAAGAGATCGTTTTATTGTTAATTTTGATTTGGATCATCTTTCTTTAATGAATATTACGTATGGTATTGCTGGATTGCTGCAAGACACCCCTTTAATACTGGTGCATGTCTTCCTTTGTGTACAGCAAGCTAAAGAGCAAACAATTTTGTGACTGTACTGAAAATGTTGTTTTTAAAAGGCCAAATGTCAATAAAATATTGATTGTTGTGAATTTTGGAGATAATCACATCTATCATTTTTCAATAAATTTTGACTTCTGGACTTTACGGCGTTCTAGAGTAACCTGTTATTGGAAATATTTGGATCATATCAGCTGTGCCAGAAAGTCAATGACACGTGAAGTTTGTAGACGCAGTATCTAAATCTGTCCATCAAAAATTTAGTTTTTCAGCAGATGCCTTAGTTACAACAAGATTGAGCTAGCTAGGCAGTTTGTTTTTTTATGTGTGTGGTATTTATTCAGTTTGGGAACTCCCATGATCTGTACAAAGTATTTAAGTTAGTGCAAGTTGACTGGCTGACTCAACAGGAGCTGGAAATGGTCTCTGTTGCTAGGTCAGTACCAAGGGTCGGCCTGCCTGTTGAAGTAGTAAACTAGATTTCATTACATTGGAGTCTAGTGATGTGACAGATTGGTTTCCAGGTATTAGGCAGACTCTGTGTATTCCCATGGAGACTGAGATAACACAAAAAGTGTTTTATTGTGATCGTGGGAGTGAATTGCCCCACAGTGTGGATACATTACTGTTGTATAACTGTTGTATAAACCCAATATTTTTTGACTGTTTTTGTTTTGTTGGGCAGGGGTGGGAATATCTAGTGTTTGATGCCCTGAACATAAAAACTTTGAAAGATCCTAAATAGAATTGTTGAAGAAAAAGGAGTCTTGTAGGTTATCATGGCATCTCTTATAGCTATTTCTTTTGCCTTTACCGTCTCCAGGGTTCCTGCCCACCCTGGGTCCTGCTTGGGCAAACATGTACGGCTCCACACGTCAGTATACTCTGATGGACGAACACCAGGACCTGAACGACGGTCTTGGAGAAGGCGTCTCCTTCAGAGCCCGTCTCCTGCTCTCCATGGCTGTGGAGATCTTGGACACAACATCGCCTGAGCTCATGAGCTCCACTGAGGTGCAGGTGGAGGGTGTCTCCAACATCTCAGAGGTGAGAGGGCGTGACTGCAGACACAACTAAATTGGCTTTGGGTAGTCTCTCTAGTGTGTCTATTTGACAATGTTATTTATGTGATGGATTTAGTTTTCTGTAGACTAGTACATTCCTTCTAACAAAACAGTCACAGAAAAGCTGTTATCCTGACCTGTGATCCATGAGATTAACATGATGCTTGACCTCTCCTGACCTCCTGATCCCACAGTGTGATGCTACAATCCACTCGTATTGGCACACATGTAGTTCACTGCTCATCAGGGAAATCAGAAACATCAGATGCTTTGCTTTGGGGCAGGCCTGCCAGCTATTTGACCTTAATGTGTCCGCTTGGGATCTTTAATCATTCATGCCAGCATGAGTCTGTGCCAGCAGTCAAGTACTGTGATGTAAACGAGACACGGATTACTAATTCAATCAAAGAAATACTGTAAATTAGCTCCTTTATATGCCTACTAAATAATCAGCTTGAGATGGCTTTTACTCATCATGTCATTTATAAGACAAAGTAAAATGTCTTCATCAGTGGTTTTGGATCATTGACAGGAAGTGACATCCTAATTGCTGAGAAAAGGAAAGGATGCCAATAATGATTTTGGAGGTACAACAGTAATAAATCTTGTCTGTCAAGTCTGGAGGATTGTGGGCTGGCAGTGGTCTATATATAGTAGTCACATTTTTTAAGGTTCTTGGAGAGACCAGTCCCCAACGTGAGCCAAGAATCAGTGCCTTGATCAAAGACAGTACAGTTTAAGGTCATTTATTACATTAATTTTTCAGACCAGACTTAATAGAATCGTCCAATTTCAGGGCTTTCCCTAAAGTTTAAAGTCCCCCTCTACTCAAAAATGTCCTCATCTAAAGTTTACAACCCCTGAAATGTCTGTCCTTTACTATACTGACTTTGTTTGTGCAAAGTTTGTCATTAGAGAGATGTTTTCACATTCTTCCACTGAAGGAGGCAATGTCTTTGCACTTTTCTAAAATCTGAAATTCAAACACACGCAAGGCAAGCTAGATTAAGTATGTCACTAACACAAAAGCAGAAGACCCCAGAGCTTCCTTCCACTATCTACCAAAAACCTCAACATAGCAGATATTATGGTATATTTTAAAAACATCTATGTGGTATTGGGTCCATGTCATTGGTCCGACAGCCCATTGGTCCTACATCCCATTAGTCTGACGTCCCGTTGTTCCGATATGTGATTATACCAGGCTATACTGTATTTGTGTACCATAGAGGATCAGCAATGCAACAAAAGTAGGCTACTGGTCGAGATACAAGTGTCATAGAGAGGAGAGAGTGAAACACCATAACCTCCTGTTATTAACTCTGGGGACCGGGTTGTGTGGGGAGCTCTCCGTGGTGCTGAATGGCTCCCGGCGGGCGTATTTCTACCTTGATGGTGCGCCGCAACCAGCTCTGGGTCAGCTGGGAAAGGCTTGAGGCGAAGCAGGCTCAAGGCTTATGTGTTTGCCACTTTCTTTTTCATTTTAACCCACACCATGATCTTTTCCTGACCCTAACCAAGTGGTTTTTGTGCCTAAATCTAACCAGACCTTAACCACAGGGCATCATGATGATTTCGGGATAACGGGACTTTGGAACAATGGGTTTAATATGGTCGGAACAATGGGATGTCGGAATAATGGGCAGACCCCGTTGTGTTAGCCACTGCCAGTTAGCCTACAAGCTAACAACATAAATAAAAGACGCTAACTACACTTACAATTCTGATAAGTCAGGCAAGTCTGCTAGTCTTCAATTTTGCTTGATACTCAGCTGGTCAAATCGCCGGCAGCTGGTTTTAAAACGTAAGGCACATTGCCTGTTTCAACAGCCAATCAGCTTGTACTGAAGTCCGCTGGTCAAGTCAAAATCACCTCAGATGGCGTGTTCGCTTGCTGCTGCAGGTGCTCCGTCCCCGCCGAGCCCTCTGTTTCCGTCCTCACATGTGCCAGTGTCTAACAGTGGGTCACTGCTGCTGTTCACTGTTGTGCTTATGCCCCCTCACACACACACACACACACACACACACACACACACACATACATTTTCACTGAATAACTGGCGCTGCTTACTTATATTACTGTGGTGTATTTATTATGAATACAGTCCATCTGATGCTTGTTTGATGTTTTTCACCGTTTCATCACTACTACAAATGCAGCTGTAGCCAGTATCTCTATCACTATCCTCATTCATATTTTAAGAAGCTACAAATTATATTCAGCCACAAAATAAGCCTGAAAAGCTGGAAATCAGAACAAAAGTACAGAGAGCTATTGCATAGAGATGATACACCATCTCATCTAGTTACACTGGTGTTAACTGGCAGGTTTTTAGAACGTTGCAGAACGGTTCATTGCAAGTAGTTGCACCACCTTGTCTCGTCACGAATCTATGGTCTGAACTGGGCTTAAGGGTTGTAGCTAAGAGGGTGATGTTTACAGTAGAGAATGGAATAGTTTGGAGTGGCTCAATGATATGGTCTTTATTTTGAAGAGCTTGGGTACTTATCATATTACTCATACTCTAAATTTGTTAAGATTAAGGGCCCTGTATTGATTATATTGGAAAGCAAAAAGAACTTGGCTGCAACTAAGATTTGCATGTTTATTTATGGGCCCCTTTTGAGTGTGGCTTAACGTACAGTGTATTTTAACTACCTTTTAAATCATACTCATTGTGCATCATGAAACTGTGACACAATGGCTATGGAAACTGGCTCTGAAAGTAAAAAGAAAAATTCAGTGGCACATTTGGCCCACAGTATATTGGCGCACATATGCTGTTACGCCATTCAAAATGAGCCTGGCAACCGTTTGAACTGGATTTAGGCCACTGTATGACAAGCTGTATTGGCGTCCTGGGCAGCATTGTGATGAACTCCTGCAAATACTTTTTATATGAATGAGTATCGATTAATATTTCATATTTTAATAACAACCACATGAAGGAATAAAAATAAGCATAGGGGCAGAAATAATGGGGGAAATGAGTGCTTTTATGAATGTAATGTCTAAATGAAGTAGCTCAATATTTCAGAGAGGAGTCAGGTGGATTTTATGTGTGTAGTGAATTACAGAAAAGAGCAGATGCCATTATTCTTCCACACACTCCACAATAAATGAATGTACTTCAGTCCAATGAAATGTTTCACTTTTTCTTTACTGCACTTCTCCTCACTCCATCAGAGCGCCACTGGGAAAATAGAGGAGTTCTTTCTCTTTGGTTCCTTCCTGGAGGCCACGATGATCGACAGGAAGATTGGTGACAAACCGATAAGTTTTGAAATCACAATAGGTAAATAAACCTTGATACTATTGACCCGCAGTCCGCAAGTTTGACAGTCATACAACAGAGAGATGTGGCGGTGTACAAAAATCAATAGCTACCAAAACCAAGCACATTCCATAACAGCCTGGAATGTTCTGTCCACTAACAGGTAACTATGGCAACCAGATAGATGGTGTAAGCAAGCCTTCATCGGCAAAGAAGAAGAAGAAAGATGGGGAGACTGAAGAAGAGGAGAGCGAGCTCATACACAACTCCAGCGAGGACGAGGCGGACGAGGACGCGGACCTGGTCTCCGTCTCCTCCACTCCTCTAATGAAGCCTGTCATCACAGACAGGTCAGGAGTCACAAGGGGTCACAGGGGGCAAAGTCAAGGAATGCTTAGAAAGCAATTTCTGATATATTGCTGGTATAATAAAAGCTGAGACTAGCCCCTTTTGAAACGATTAAGTGCTTTACATGTATGAGAGTATGATGAATGTCAGCCAGGGGCACGCTGCTGGCGAGGATTAGCTGTATTAAGAGAGTTTCTGCACAGTCTTTTACACATGCAGGCTATGAACTAAGTGTTTAGTTTAGTATCTAACAATTTAGGGACTGAGACTGTTTTTGTTTGTACCCTATAGGAATTACTTTCATCTTCCCTACTTTGAAAAGAAGCCGTGTGTTTACATCAAAAGCTGGTGGCAGGACCAGAGAAGACGACTGTACAACTCTAACATGATGGACAAGATCGCTGACAAGCTGGTCAGTAAACACCCTTCTTCCCAATGTGCAGCATCCCAAAGTTGGCTCAGGAGGTTAGATTGGCTAACGGCTAATTTTCTGTAGCAGTTTGTAAATAACCAGGGTGTCTACAGGTCCAAAGAGTCTTAAATATTTTCGGTCACCTTACCACAAAAATTTCTCCAGTCTGACAGACCCAGTGACTGTTTACAATCATTGGACAGACCAAAGACTTGCAGTAATAAACAGCATTTATGACAGTGATGAGATTTTGTTTTCTTTTTACATTAAATACTTTTAATTTAAACTAACCCAATTGTTAAATTGTAAATTTCATATAAAGTGGTATTAAAAATGTCTTAAAAAGTCTTAAATTTAACTTGGTTATATATCTGTAGACATCCTGATAACAAAACTAAGGGCCCTATTTAAATGATCTATAGCACATGGCACATGGCACAAGTGCTTTTAGGGCATGACCAACTCCACTTTTGCAAGTTAAATAATCTGGTAACAGAGGGGTTGCGTTAAGATCCGTAATCATAGGTTGCTTTGGACATAACATGAATTCAACTAATCGGGGTGTCATCAGCGTATTGGAGGAGCGAGCGGTTTCTGGTGAGAGTAATACAGTAAGAGCAGTGAATGTTATGGACATTTAAGAAGCAAAACTAAAAGCTGTAGTTATAAGGTTAACAGAGGAAACAGAACTAAGCATTCAGGTTTTAAAATAATCAATGAAATTACGCTACTCCTTTTGCAGAAATGCATGCAGCGTCTCTCTGAATGGGGAGTCAAACAGTGGCTTGGCAGCTCTGCTTTGCTCTCTGCTACATTCACATTTTAAAGAATGTAATTAATATTGTCCTCATTAGTGACATATTTTTTTCACCCACCCTCAACCCATTCACACTTCCCTGTGTATGTAACAAGCGCCTATGTGGGCTTATCTTATAATGCACCATTCAAATACCATTGACTTTAGACCTGGTTTTTGTTTGTCAATGGCGCAATCACTTTCTGTTGCCTCAATATAGCAATGCACCTGACCACACCTCATTATAACACCTACTTGCCCATGGGCACACAGATGGGCTAAGGTACATTCGCTACTCACACAATGTGGTCGCTGACTATGGAAATGACAACTGCGTCAGTCTGAAACTGGCGATGACAGTTGTGCTGCTCTGTGCGCTGCTTTGTGCCCGGTGTAAGATACAGCCTAAAAGTCTACAGCCATGCCAGCAGTGTTGTTAGGCTACACTTGACTTAGTGCTTACATCAACATGCTAACATGCTCACAATGGAGTTGCTAACATAGCGATGTTTAGGAGGGATAGTTTTCTTCTTTGTTGAGGGTGTTAGTTCGCTGACATTTGTAAATGAGCACCAAACAAAAAATACAAAAATTAAGATGGGAATGCCAGTATTGGAGGTATCTAGACATAAACCAAAGTATTGGAGAAATTAAAAGTTTGACCGGATGATGGAGCTTTGTGAAAAGTCAGAGGATCATCAAAATCAGTAGGATTCATCTTCTGGGGACCACGAATGTCTGTAGAAAATTTAATGGCAAGCCCTCCAATAGTTGTTAGGGTATTTCAGACTGACTGATGTTGCCATTCCCAAAACCATGCCGTCATCATGACTAGATATATGGTAAGTAAAGGAAGATAATCACTCATGATGAACAATCACATTTAAGGTGTAGACATGACAGGAATATAAATTATATTACTCTTATCAGAATTACATTATCAACTACTTCACCTACAATTACATTCCTGTCTTGACAGCCGAGTGTCGACATAAAAAGCTGTGCTGTGCATATGTATGTGCATATAGATACTATTTAATATACTCTATTAGACAGCAGTATGTGTGAGTAGATAATGGGCATTTGGCATTTGTAAAATATGTTTTGGATATACACCCATGACTACTGCCAGTTTGTTTTGTCCTAAGCTCCAGTATATTTTGTGTCCCAACAGGAAGAGGGTTTGAATGATGTTCAGGAGATCATTAAGACAGAGAAGGCTTTTCCAGAACGCAGACTCAGGGGAGTGCTGGAGGAGCTCAGCTTCGGCTGCAGGCAAGCCTCATAATAGTAATCATTTGTCATGGTCTTGTATTAAAACTGTCGCTGTGACTCAGCGGTCAGTTCAGATACTGGGAGTTTCTGCGGATGTTGACCTCTAAAACACAGTCATTATGATTGTCATGATGATGCTCGCGGATGAATATTATAAATCATTTTAATGCAGGTTTTGTTAATATGTATCGAGTCAAGCCACTTTCATGTTTCATCCTTTGTATCTTCTGGTTATTTGCAGTCGGTTTGTGACCCTGGCTAACAAGGATGTGAACCAGGCGGGCCGAACCAAACTGGACCGAGAGCGGCTCAAGTCCTGCATGAGAGAGATGGTATGAGTTATGTTTCTCATATCATGAAGAAAGGGAGAGGTGTGAGTGATAGAGGGAAGATGAAGTTATCAGTTTGGCTGCTGCTCAGTCTCTAATTCCAGCATCTTATTGAGTAAACAGTATGGAGACGCTGTAAAGTCCACACAGGGAAATTAATTTTTTGAATGTATTTTCTCTCCTTTGAATAATTCCTTTCCATACATTTACATACATTTGCAATACTGTCTCATTCTCAGAGCTGTTTCATATTCTGTTTCATGTTTATATTTGAATGCTCGTCTGATTTGCAAAGTGTTCTGTAGAAAAACATAAGCATTGTAAGCAAGGCCGTCATGGTGGCTGAAAAAGAGAAGGTCATAATATGAATAAGATCCAGTGTTTGAACAGATGTATGCCTGAGAGGTATACAGTATGTACTTAACATATACTGAGAGAGAAAAGAACTGGCTGTATTGTGTACTTGCCTGTGGCTGCACTACACCAGTGTTTGTGAGGTCATGGTAAAACTGCAATGGAAAGCACAAATATTTAAGTAGAACACAAACTTTTCACCAAAAAAAACTGGTGGGAAAAGTCGTGGATGTGTAGGGACATAAGACAGTAATTAGAAACTAGCAAGATGTTTTAGGGGTAAGTAGGGAGAGGATCATGCATTAGGCCATGTGTGTATCTGTGTCTCTGCAGCCAATCTTGCAAACTACAGGGCCAATCATTTTTATTGACCATTTTATATCGTCATTGACTGCTGATGCCTCACTATTCTTAACTGGCCAGTAGGGGCTGCGTGTTTGGCAGAAATTTGCTCAGCTAAAAACAGTAAGTCTGACTATCTGTTGGATGCCACATTTAGGCCTTCATTGTGGCTCAAAAACTGACATCTTTACAAAAGTTTGGTCTTATTTTGAATGGAAGCATCTGTACGTTAATTCCATACCTTTTATGTTATGATCCACTTAAGTTAAGCGTAGTACAAGTTGAATAAGTCACCATTTTCGTTACCCACATCCCGGCTGTGACTCCATGTGGGTCCGTCACAGCATCGTATCACACCAGGAGCCAGAGCATTTTGCCTGCACAATTTTGTAGACTTTCAGATTTTGTTGGTCATTTTCCTTTATATTTGTGTTTCCACCTAAGTAAGTAAGTGAACTATGTAGTAAATTGTTTCTTTTTTGTTGTCTGTTTTGTGTTTATTGTGTTTATTCCTACTTTGAGATAATACTATCCAAAGTCTCATTTATGAACGACATGGATCAAAGATTTGTAGCTTTGTTATAGTTGTTAAAAGTACTTTCATCCTTATAATTACATCATATCTTCTAAAACACATTGTGCCGCATCTGTTGGAATTGCAAGAATTGTCTAGAGTGGCTGTGTTCATCTCGGACAGCCAGAACGTGTCCGCCTGGGTAGATTTGTGCTCTACTGAATGCACTTTTCTACTCTCTGTATAGTCTTTAAACAAGAGTGTCTGGAAAATAAAACATCCCCCATGCAGCTGGTTAAACTGAGCATAAATCGACCCCTAACTTCAGTCTGTGCATGAGTATACAGTTTGTGTGTAAACTGCAGTGCCCTTCTTTTAGTATGCTTCATCATCACTCATCATCTCTCCTCCTGCAGGACAGCATGGGCCAGCAGTCCAAACAAATCCGAACTCAGGTGAAGAAAAACACAGTCAGAGACAAACTCAAGCTGGTGCAGAACTTCCTGCAGAAGCTCCGTTTCCTCGCTGACGAGGTACTGATTTAATTCTCTAAAAAAAAAACATTTGTATAACTTTCCCTAATTGGGGAAAAAGCCTGATTAAAGAAAAGTGCTGATCACCTGTCAATTGATCCATTGCTTTTATCTTACCTAGCCTCAGCACAGCATCCCAGATGTTTTCATCTGGATGATGACGAACAACAAGCGCATTGCTTACGCCCGTATTCCTTCCAAAGACATTCTGTACTCCATAGTGGACGAGGAAACGGGAAAAGACTGTGGCAAAGTCAAAGCTGTCTTTCTCAAGGTACAATCATCTATTCCTGCTCCTCTCACTCACACTGTCTGCTTATTAAACACACTTTGATGATTTTTAACCATCTTAAATCCAGTTTAAACTGAAATCATGTAAGGTAGAGTTATAGTTACACTGTGAGATGATCAGTCCTAGTGAGTAGTCAATATACAACACACAGTACTGACAAGTATTATGGTGAAAGGGATTGTAAATCTGTGATGGCTGCCTAGAAAGAAGGTTGAAGATCAATGAAGTGGCTGCTTAATATTTATGGGTTGGGCCACATTTAATGTATAATGACTGAGGTGCTGTAATGATGCCACAGAGAGGATACAATAAATACTTTCCAGTGTTTTTTCCAATAGTGTATTCACTTTTGTTGAATGTAACTCTTTGTAATTGTTTAGTCCATTGCTGTTGTAATTGTGTCCACAGCTGCCTGGTAAGAAGGGCTTTGGTCCTGCAGGCTGGACGGTTCAGGCGAAGCTGGAGTTGTATCTGTGGCTCGGCCTCAACAAGCAAAGGAAGGACTTTCTCAACGGTCTGCCAAACGGTTTCGAAGAGATCAAATCTGCTAAAATGGGCCCCGGTCTTCAATCTGTCCCCCCCGTTAGCCTCGTCTACAACAGTAAGCTCTTGGAGATAGAAGCTTGGATTAATTATTGTCTCAGTAGTTTTACTTTTCATTTACTGAAAGGTTCTTTATTTAGCACAGAGTTTCAACTCTAAAATCAATTGGAGGCAAAACACAAAAATTAACTCACTCAAGAGGGTGGCATTTGGCTTCTATTGATCCCTTTTACTTTGTTGTTCACTTTTCTAACTTCAATATAAGATTGCCAACGGAGGGCATTGATTGTCTGTTAATGATATATGCGTGTGTATGTGTGCGTGTCCCCAACAGTGAAGCAAGTGTTTCAGCTAAGAGCACACATGTACCAAGCCCGCAGTCTGTTTGCTGCCGACAGCAGCGGCCTTTCAGATCCCTTTGCTCGGGTTTTCTTCTCCACACACAGCCAGGTTACTGAGGTAGGACCATTAATGTGTGTATATCTTTATGAGTGTTGTAATAAAGACCACCTGAACCGAGGCCAACACAAGACCAAGACTTTCGGGGTTGAGACCAAGACTAGACTAGTCCTGTGCAAAAATGGCTTTAACCATCGTTATTCAACACTCCTGACTCATCTTTGTCTGAGAACAAAAGAAGACAGAGTGAAAGTGTGATCATTTACAAGGCGAGACCGAGACCTTCAGAGAGGTTTTGAGATCAGTCTTGAGTATTCCAACACTGCTGTACACTTTGTGTGTGTGTTTGTATCGATTATGTGTAAACTGAGTTAATAATGAGTGTGTGCCGCAGGTCCTGAGCGAGACTCTCTGCCCCACATGGGACCAGCTGCTGGTGTTTGACGATGTGGAGCTGTTTGGGGAGGCCAGTGAGCTGAGAGACGACCCTCCAATCATTGTCGTTGAAATCTTTGATCAGGACACTGTGGTATGATCTTACTCTGTGTGAATGAATGGCTGTGTCACTTAAGGACTGTCAGTGCTTGTTAAACAGCTTTAAAGCATTTAGTTTGCGCTAATAAATCTAAAAGTGCTTTGCTTCTCCCTCCTCCATGTCCTGACTGTCTGTCCACCCTTGTTTCACTCCACCCTGTCCTTCACATGATCTCTGGCCTTGCTCGTGCTGCGCTGGTTAAATAGAGTGTGAAAGCATTAATACTGCAGAGACTGTGTTGAATTAAAAGTTATAATAGCTGCTAGCTGATGTAGCATTAATAGTTCAGTTCAGCTAGCTGCTGATGAGCTCTGGAAAAATTGCATGCACCTCCTCTATTTCTCCTCTCTATTTGTAACAGCAGAAGCTGCAGGAGCATGAATGGTTTTTAGCAGCAGACATGGTGCAGTTTAGAAAATCTGCCTGTCAGTACTCAGATATGAAACAAAGAAAGCTTTAAAAAATGCTGATGAGTACACCTCGATGTCCTCTATCATATTGTATCTTTAGTCAGGGAGTTTGTGTTATGTAAGACTGAGTTTCTGCTGTTCACAAGCTCTCCTTAAACTCCATATTTTTGTAACCTTCCACCACTTTGACCAATACTGACACCAAGTGGCTGTCATCGTAACTGCACCTCCCACACCCATGTTTAACTCCCTTCCCTTGTCCCCTGACTGTCTCCACTGCCTGCTGTCACAATGTGGTGTTCAGGGCAAGGCAGAGTTCATAGGTCGGACGTTCGCGAAGCCCACCATCAAGATGTGTGACGAGCACTACGGCCCGCCGAGGTTCCCACCTCAGCTGGAGTACTACCAGATTTACAGAGGGAACTGCACCGCCGGGGAACTGCTGGCTGCCTTTGAGCTGCTGCAGGTAACATATGCAACAACACGCATCCGTAAACACACATGAATTAATAAATGCTTTCACACATGCATGCACACAAAGTACATACCAAAGCACGCTAAATGAATGAATGCCTTTAAAATATGCATGCACACACATTCCACAGGCATTCCTTCTGAAGAGGCTGCATGTACAGTTTTTATAGAAATGAGAACAAGAGAAATGAAAAAGGAAGATTCTGAATATTTTTATTGGTGATTTGTTTACGTCTGTTTCAGCAGTCTTCTCTGTCACTGCCTTTGTCAGTACTACCTTTGTTGGTGTGTTACTGCCACCAGCTGCAGAAAAGTGTAAAATCAATGGCAGAAGTGTGTATCAATAAGCTCGCAATACACACAAAATAGAGACTGGCTCAAGAAAACTCACTTATCTATTGCGCTACTGGTGTATAGTGACTAGCCCCATGCTTTAGCCACTACTGGCTGATAACTGGCTGACGTGTACTCAGAAACTACTCCCAATCTTACCAGTGCTGTATATCATCATACGTCCGGATAACTTACAAAAAGTTTCGACACAAACTACTTATAAAAACAGCCATATGAATCCTAATCCAAGCACAGTCGAAAACTGTTTGCCTCCTAACATCACCAACACCTTACTGGCATGAACTTAAATACCATGGCCCGCCTCAGCCAGTGACATAAGCCACCTAGTGGAGTTGCAGGGTAATACATTCATCACAAATCAAACACATGGCTCCAACATAGTAGTCTCGCTCACCTTTCTCAAGAAAAGAAAGGTCTGGCTGGGCCGACTCTCACTTTAAGATTGGAGGAAAAAACGCCCCGGCTGCTTGTATTTCTTTCAACCAATCACAATCGTTCTGGGCGTTGCCACAGCAACGGTGCGCTTGCAAAAATATTGCCGGGGGAAACCGGTTTTGGTGTAACACGCCCACAAAAATATTGCCTACAGGATGCAAACCATGGCGGAAAAATGGCTACACCCCCGCAAGATCAAACACCGCAAAAGTTAGTAAAGGACGTGTTGAAAACTGCAACCGGAGGTGGTAGGGCGGGACTTCAGCGGGTGGCTATGCAGCGAACTTCCGCCCACTCAGACTACCAACATAGTGGTTAGGGATCGACTGCTATGTTTGTTTGTTTTTTCGGGGCTGATGCCGGTACCGATTATTAGTAATCAATGAGACAGATAACAGATATTTAGAATCAATATACATTTGCTGTTAAAAAAAAAAAAAAAAAAAAAAAATACAATCTTAGTGTCGACACAAACTCCAACACAAAACTTTTTTAAATGCCTTTAAGCATCGTATGTTTAATGAAATGGTGCAAAAGAGAACTTTTCAACATTAGGTTAAAAAAAAAGAGCCATTGCTCCTCCACCATCCTCGCATGTATAGCAGCCTGCCTCCCTGGTGCTGGTGTATGCAGTACTCCCACAGACCTCATGCACTTTAAGACCTTTTCTTTTTGTGTCATCCAGAGAGTGAGAAAGAAAGGGAAATTACGGTCAATAATCGGCCAGGCTGATAATTGGTCGATCCTTACAGGTGGTCATAAACTCAGCAAGGTGCCTTTAATGATGTGGATCATGCACAAATGATCATGGAGAAAAAAAGCAAAAATTGTTTTTTTCTTTCTCTCTGCCAAGCATCCTGCACATGTCTCTCATGTCTTGCACAGTCTGTTTCCTTTTATCGCCTCACTTGGATCATCACATGCTGCTTTTACTTGTTTCTTTTAACCACTATGCATTTCTTCTTGCTCTTTCCCCCTTTAAAGGGCCAGTGTGTAATATTTGGCATGGTTTATTATCAAATATGAATCTGAATCTGAATATTCTACCCATTAATATGTTTATATAAGTGTATAATCGCTATAAAATAAAATTCGTGTGGTTTTCGTAGCCTTATAATTATTCTTTTACATATATATAGCAAGGGCCTTGCTTTAGAGAGGTCGCCATCTTGCGCCGCCATGTATGTACGGCAGACCGAGTGGACAGTCCAGCCAGCCAGAGAACGCGTTTCGCGTGTATAAATAAACCAACGAAGACAGCGGAAGGAAGTAAGAAGGAGGAGGAAACAGCAGAGAGTGTTAGTAGTTCATCGATAGAGAGTAGTGAAAAGTTTTTTTAGTTATAAAGTTTGCGAGTGGACCACACTTACCACGCAACAGGAGAGAATGAACCCGAACTGTCATCTGCGAGGAAAAGAAAACGCAACTTCACTCCTTGTGATGCACTCTCTGCGGCGCTTTTCCTCCTGGTGATATATCTCCCAACGATGGTAGCACCGAATCCCATTCTGTGCAGCCAAATGGGAGTGGAGGATTCAGCCTCTCTTCTCACCCGCTCAGCATCCAACACATGGAGTTCCTCATCTGTATGCTCCAGCTCAAACAATTATGGCTCTGGTCTGTGTCCGCTACAAGAAAGTCTTCAAAATCGCGTTCAAAGTCGTCCATTGCAGCTACTATAGTCCGGAGATATTGCTAGGCTAAATAAACAGCTGAGCTCTGTTTACAGGCTACGCTGTCAGTCAGTGTGCGGGCTGGAGATTGGTGCAGCAGAGAGGGGAGGGGGTACCTGCTAGGTACTGTAAACGAGTATGTGTGTATTAAGTGTGTGTGTTACGCTAGAAGAGTCAGAGTTTGGGACGGAGTCTTTTACCCCCTGGAGTGTTATTGGAGTTTTTGGAGTGCTCAAATAAACGGGCCTTTTTCCCGAACGCTACTCTGGTCTCCTGCTCGTGAGGGATCCATTACAATATCATAACATGGTTTAGATTTCTAAATAAACATTCACCTCGTTGCTAGATAGACCTACTCCTGAAAAACTCGTGTCTGCGCAAGGCTTTTTGTCCCTACGAGGCCACTGTCATTTACCCGACGGGAGGGGTGAGCGAGTGAGCCCTGCAATCTAGAATTTGACCACTGATGTCACTGTTTTCAACCCATTTTACACACTGGCCCTTTAAGTATTCATATCTCCATTTACTTCCTTGTGTCCTCTGCCACCATGGCATTGTTTGTCCTTTCTTCTGTAAAATATCCATTTAAAATGACTCAACATCTGGGTGGTGCACTCTGTCTCCTTCCTGTGCCTCCTCCTGCTGCCCACAGATCCCTTTCAATGCGGAGGAGATTAGGCGAGCTCTGATTGCCGTCCATAACTTTGCTGTTCCTCAAATAAAGGTGCTCTTTTCTTGCATTCTCTCTTTTCATCCCACTTTGTCTTTTATTCTGTGTTTACTTTGTTGTCAGTGTTTGTACTGCAATAATCTCTGCCTTCTCTGCACTTCATCAAAGTTGTCACACTAAGCAAAGAAGGAATTTATACAAATATTATTACTGTAGGAAATAAATTTGGTATGGTGCTCATACTGTATCACAGCACAGAAGTCACAGAGGTATCCTGTTACTCTGATGTTTACTTCCTCTCTCTTCTCCTTTATTAGATTGGTCAAGGAGGGAGAGCCGATCTTCCTCCCATTGAAGGGCCGACAGACTCTGAGCGTGGCCCCATTCTTCCTGTGCCGCTGGGCATCAGACCCGTTCTGAGTCGCTACCGCATAGAGGTGAGATTTTTACCACCAGTTCTAATTTTAGACTCTAAAAATCCCCCTTCCTGTCATGCTGTTTTCTTTTTTCTGGTTCAGGTTTTGTTCTGGGGCTTAAGGGACCTGAAAAGGATTAACCTGGCTCAGGTGGATCGGCCCCGTGTGGACATAGAGTGTGCGGGCAGAGGTGTGCAGTCTGTCCTCATCCAGAACTACAAGAAAAACCCAAACTTCAGCACCTTGGTTAAATGGTTTGAGGTGGTGAGTAAAGCTCTCCATTTGATATTTAGACCATTATAAAGCTGGATCTTAGATATCATATCCAGTTCTTTTCAATAAATGTGGAACTTAAAGCCACAGTGTGTAGGAATTTCTCCCATCTAACGTTGAAATCATATATTGTATTCAAACAGATGGCGCACTCTAGCGCCTCACTGTTTCAAACACGTATTGCAACAACTGTAGCCGCTGTGTACCAAAAAGCTATGATAACACTGATGAAACCATGTCATCCGATACTACATGGAGTATTCATTCAGGCTCCTACACAGACACACGCGAGTTGACAAACCGCCTCCTCGCCATGCTGGCTGTGTTTACAACGTAGGACTGTTGGGGCAGGTGTAAATTGAAACAAACCAATCACGTCTTGTCCTTTGACAACTGACAAGTGGCTCAACCTCACACACCTCATCCCTCTCCTCGCATTACTGCGCCGCTAACAGCTGTTAGTGGCCAGCGGCACTACTGCCGCATAACAAAGTCCCACTCTTTGAGTATAATGCAGGATCATGTATTATGCAGCATCACGGGAGACGGAATCCTCGTCGCCAAGAAAGTGCAAAAGGGAATCAAAAAGGCAGCATGACCGGCGAATTAAAAAAACAAGGGTCAGCATTGGGGTTGCCTTTCCCAGGTTGAGAGAGCTGCTGAAGGAGAAAGGTAATACAATCACAGGCCAGCGCTAACAGCGGCTAACAGCTCTCCTCGCATCACTGTTAGCGACTGGCCGCTAACAGCGGCTAACAGCCAACAGCGTTGCTGGCCTGTGATTGCATTACCATTCTCCCTCAGCAGTTCTCTCTACCTGGGAAAGGCTACCCCGATGTGGGCCTTCGTTTTTTTAATTCGCCGGTCACGCTGCCTTTTCTATTCCCTTTTGCACTTTCTTGGCGACAAGGATTCCGTCTCCCATGATGCTGCATATGCATGATCCTGCATTATGCTCAAAGAGTGGGACTTTGTTTCAAATTTGCCAGGGTAGTAGCGAAGCGCCTTTTGCTCCTCTCCTTCGGCTCCTCAGTCACGCAGTGCTGGCCTGGCTCTCAACGAAAACGCCGAAGGCGGTGCTGTATGTCCCTTGCTGGCGGGTGTATTCTCAAGATGGCGAAACGTAATGGAACCCCACAGACGACTTACCCGCACAATGTACAAACAAATCCGAAATTCTCCTTTTACGAGAATAAGTCAGATTATTGGTGGAGGTAATAGTACACCAGTGATGACATATTTATGAATGCAGACATCAATTTTTGCCAATAAACAACTGAAAATGTTACACAATGTCCCTTTAAGTCCCCCTCCAGACACATTTAAAAGTGTGTAAAAATAAAAATACTCTGCTGTGATTAATATTTTGTATAAGATGGTTTTCCCACAAAAAAGTGAGAAAAAATCAGGGTCTGGTTTACATCTAAAAGCCGCACTCTACCATGTTTACTGTCAAAACTTTCACTATGCTAATGCTAACTTTGCTCTCTGTCCTGACAAGTCCGCTCTGCACTGGAAGTTTCAGGTTTCTTTGCAAGTGTTGTGCTGGGTTAGTCAGTTCCCCCGTTGATATGTGTTTCCTGTATTAGACAGCAACTGGATTTCGTATAGAATGCTGCAGGAATTACACAAGCACAAGTATCAGAATGTTAAGTGTAGTTAGCATCTTTTATTCATGTTGTTTTTTAGCTTGTAGGCTAACAGGCATTGGCTGACACAGCATTAGTGTTTGTGAAATATACAGTAATATCTGCTACAATTTTACAGTGTGTTCACATTGGTCTGGTTTACATCCAAAAAACTACACACTACAATAATGATAATAATTTAAAAATGATCATAAAATTAGAATAGACAAAATAAATAACATAGAGCATTATTCACAAAATGTTTGCTGTCAAAACTTACATACTCTGCTCAAGTCTTTGCTGGTGTTGTGTCAGAGGCTGTTCCCTTGACAATATTTGTTTCCTGTATTAGACAGCAATTGGGTTTCATATTAGTGATGTCTTTAATCTAGTTTGCCTGGCATACATTTGAATCTCAGGTTATAGGGAAATGCACAGACATCTTTCTCTTCAGTAGAACAATGTGAAAACTCCTTTCTAGTGACAAACTTTTCAAAGGTACAAGTCAGTATATTCAGGACCAGACATTGTCTTCGTCTTCACTTTACAGAAAAACTAACTACTAAACTAACTACTAACAAGTGTAACTTACTGAAAGAGAAATGTTCTTCTCTCACTGTGCCTTGCTGAGCCAACTCTGTAATCCTTAATTTTGTCCTCAGGACCTTCCAGAGAATGAGCTTCTCCACCCTCCTCTCAACATCCGGGTGGTGGACTGCCGGGCATTTGGCCGTTACATCCTGGTGGGGTCTCATGCTGTCACCAGCCTGAGACGTTTCATCTACAGCGCCCCAGACAAAACCTCCAACAACTGGGCCACTGCAGGTGCTTACACTCAAGTTAAGGATTATACTAATATTATTGTGATATGTTATTGTTAGTGAGGAGCCTGTTAACTGTGGGAGTTTGTGTGTGTACAGTTAGCTTTGGCGAGGGCTTTGAGCTGAAACCTGTCAGCAGTTTTATCAGTCCATTGTTGAAAATGAAATTCAGCAAAATGAGTAGGACAAAGACAATCTTTTACTTAAAACAAAAAAAACTTTAGTGCTGCCTTATTTCTGCCTTTGTTTTGGAGAAACACATATTCAGTAGTTAATGAGGGGCCTGTTAACTGAGGCATTTTGAGAAACCTAGTGTTTCTGGTGCCAGGTTTCAAAAACTTTAAAAAGTCAGCATTTTCAGAGTTTGCAATATGCAGCTTCACTTTTAGCTTGCCTCCTACTTGTATGTATTCTTAAGTTTTTGGGGTTTTTTTAGAGCACAAATTTCTTGTGTTTATTTGAACTCTATTTCATTATATTTTATTTTGTAAACTCAAGCATTGTACAATACTTGACCCTTGGAGGATGGTCTGTCTCTACAGTAAGCCAGTAACAAAGGAAGTCTTACATTTGATTGGCATGACATTTATTCATATTACACTCACACAGACTTTGTAATCTTCAAATATGAATGGCAATGAGTGGCAATTTTAAAACATGTCGAGGGCATTCTTTTATTCACTTTTTCACATCAGTTCTGGGTTTCCTTTACTTTTAAAAGACTTATAGGTCCTGAATTTTTTTGTTCTTTGGAAATAACTCATAGACTTTGTTTTAACCTTTTCAAAATGCCAGTTGGATGAGGCTCCTGGCAGGGTTGGACAATAACAGGGTACTGTGCATCAAGAAAGGTTAAAACAAACTTTAAGAATGTCTTTAAAATACTCGTGATTAAGCTCTCTGGTACTTAAAAGGATGCTTCACTTCCAAATCCAAAATATAGTATCTCACATTAAGTGAGTACACCCCTCCCATTTTTGCAAATATTTCATTATATCTTTTCATGGGACAACACTATAGAAATGACACTTTGATATAACTTAAAGTAGTCAGTGTACAGCTTGTATAGTAGTATAGATTTACCTTCCTCTGAAAATTACTCAAAACACAGCCATCAACATCTAAACAGCTGGCAACATAAGTGATAATGAGCCAAAACACACCTAGTAGATGACAGCTGCCTTGCTGAGGAAGCTGAAGGTGAAGGTCATGGACTGGCCAAGTATGTATCCAGCCCTAAACTCACCTGTGCACCTGTGGGCCATCCTCAAGCTGAAGGTGTTGTAGCTCAAGGTGTCTTCACATCCATCTGCTCCATGATGTCATCATGGAGGAGTGGGAGATTATTCCTGAAGCAACCTGTGAGCTCTGGTGTATTCCATGCCCAAAAGGGTTAAGGCAGTGCTAGATAATAATGGTTGGCACACAAAATATTGACACTTGAGGCACAATTTGGACATGTTCACTGTGGGGCCAGCTGTTTACATGTTGATGGCTGTGTTTTGAGTAATTTTCAGAGGAAGGTAAATCTATACTACTATACAAGCTGTACACTGACTACTTTAAGTTATATCAAAGTGTCATTTCTATAGTATTGTCCCATGAAAAGATATAATGAAATATTTGCAAAAATGGGAGGGGTGTACTCACTTATGTGAGATAATGTCCATCTTTTTCTACTCACCTGGAGTGCTGTTGACCAGTCTAGATTGTTTTGGTGTGAGTTGCAGAGTGTTGAGGATGTCTGCCTGCTCGTGGATATAATGGAACTAGATGGCACTTGGCTTGTGGTGCTCAAAGTGCCAAAAAACACATCTGGAAAAACTCAACAGCATTTCGCACCATCACTTGCATGAGCCTCTTGTCCATGAGTAGATGCACACTTCATACTGCGTGGTGTTACAGTTGGCGATGTAGTTAGGTTGAAAGAAACTAGTTCCTACATGAAACTGCGCACAACAAGGTCTTTAGATTATCTTGAGTAACCAGGTCATGATTTCTGTAAAGAGACATTGCTGTTGAGTTTTTCAAATGTGTTTTTTGGCACTTTGAGCACCACAAGCTGAGTGCCAACTAGTTTTATTATATTGGAAAGAAGGCAGACATCTCTACGACGAATCTGTTCAACACTCTGCAACTCACACCAAAACAGTTTAGACTGGTCAACAGCACCACAGATAGAAGGAAAAATATGTAGTTTTGATGTGGGGTAAACTGTCCCTTTAAGAATAAATATTCATTCTTTATTAACTTTGCTGATTTCTCTGCTTGCTCTCTGCCCTGACCAACTGTTCCTGCCCGTATCCTCCCTTCCATCTGTTCTTTTTTCTCTCTCACATGTCCTTGGCTGTCCTGTCCTCTCCTGCCACCTGCTGTCTCTGCCCTCCGGCCTCACTCCAGCTAAGCTAATGAATGGCTATATGGTCCTTACTAATGGCGGCTCCCAGCCTCGCTCCTCACCCAGCCTTTCTTCCCGCACCCTCTCTCGCCCCGCAGGTGACATCATCGTCAACATGGATGCGGAGCCTCCCGTGCGAAAGATGGACACGGTTGTCAAGTTAGACGCTGTAAGCTTTTCTTTGAGTTCATGCACTGTAGAGCATTGCCTTCTAACTTCTATTGTACAATGTACAATGTACAATGTGAGTGTTAATGTATGTAAGTAGTAGCACTGCTTTATGTCCAGTCCTTATGACCTGCCTCTGTACATGTGCCGTTCCTACCTGCATCATCCATTGTGTGTATTAACCCTTGTGCTGTTTTATGTAACGCCCCCTGTCATAGACGTCTGACGCTGTTGTAAAAGTTGACATGGTAAGTAATTGTTCCTACAGATATTTGTGCTGAAGTTAACTGTTGCCTTGTTGTGAGTGAAAACTGAGCTGCTGAGCATCACTTTAATTGTCTGAACTGTTTCAACAGACCGAGGAGGAGTGTGACAAAGAGAAAAAGAAGAAGAAGAAGAAAAAGAAGGGAGGAGTAGAAGAAGAGGATGAGACAGATGAGAGAGTGCTGGACTGGTGGTCCAAATATTTTGCTTCAATAGAGACGCTGAAGGAGGTTAGTCTGTTCTATTCACATTGAAACATTTTTGTTTTTGCTTTCACACTTAAAGTTCTGTTAGATTGACAGTATTTTCTCGCCTGGTTTTCCAGACTCTCAGAGCCCAGGAGGCAGCTCAGGCAGAGGCAGAGGAAAGAGAGGACCTGGAAATAGCTGCAGAGGCAGCAGGTATTCCACCAAAACAGTTGGGCTGCCTGCCAGCGCACTCGAATGTCTGCTGCTTTGATTTCTTTTAAATGGAAATGTCACCAACATTCGATTTTAAGTTATGATTCTGCAAGTGTAGACATATTCCTGACTGTTTTCACTGTTCTGCCTGAGATGGCAGGTAGTAATTTGTTTTGAGCGATACTTCTGTCAAAGGAATATCATATGCTTGAGTCAGAAATCACTTCCTACTTGCACTGTGCACTGTATTTATTATGCATCATTTTATCTGAATGTGCGAGTGGGGAATTTATGCTCCATATAGTGTCCCTAAAAACTCCAACACTGGAAAAAAGTGGTGACAATTGCCTGTACACTACAGCTGTGTCCTAAATCCATACAGCATATTAATTCTATACAGTATGCACTACATCTTAATAGTCCCCTTAGAGGCACATTTAAAAGCACTCAAGGACACCTTAAAAGACACAGTTAAAACAAAAAAAACAAGCAGCAATGTATCCATAGATCATAAAGTCAAACAATCAGTATTATACAATAAAAGTTAATTAAATGACTAGACAAAAATTGTACTATAAATATGAGGTTGTGTAGTTATGAAGGAGTTCAGACAGGTAGGAAGGGGCTTGATTATGACGAGGAGGAACAGGAGTGATATGATATGTGGAGGGGGTTCTAGTAATGATACGGGCGGCTGAATTCTGGACCAACTTGAGTTTATGAAGACACTTGAGAGGGAGACCAAAGCATTGTTTCCATAGGCCACCATTGTAAGAGAGACATCTGTAAAGCTTTGACAGGACACCTTGAACTGCAAACATGCTCAATTATGAATCTTTCTATTATGATTTTTAGACCACCACTACACAGAGGCACTACTGCGCATATTCAGTGGGCTGCATACACTGAAAGTAACACCAGAAGCTAGAAGTTTTTCTGTTGTACGCATCAGGCAGGCAACTCTCATTAGACTGAATAGGCACCACTTTGAGGTCGGACATCTAGATATTAAAATACATCCAGGGTTGAGATGTTTCTTCATTTACTTTGTGCATTAACAGCACACTTAAAAATCAACCGTATGTGGTCTGCAAGCTGTCTGCTTTGAGTACACTTTAGTACTGTGTAGTATGGATTTTGGACACTGCATGCTTTCTGTTAACAATCCCACAATGTCATGCGCCCAATTTTATAGAATTTAAAAACTAAAGCTATCAGTGATAACTAAAAATTACAATGATTCATAAATGTCAGAAATCTCAATTTGCTGCTCATTATAAACCAAACTACAGGGTGTTTGTTATGAAAGAGTAAATGAGTGAATGATGGAGGGCTTCCAGACACAGCTTTTGTCAGACGTGACCTCCAGCATAAAGTGCGCAGAGGCATCATTATGTGCTTCCTGCTATTTGTCTCTGCTCCCACGGTTCATCCTTCATCAGTGCTTTGAACACGAGTTGAACATCATCATATTCATGACCATATCCCACATCAGCATGACGTCCCAGCTCTGCATTACACATGAAAGCTGGCTGATACAGACTCACTGAATTAATCTACCTCTACACCAACATGCTCACATACATAATGACATAAATCATTTACAATTAGACTGCAATTAATGCAGCATTAAACTTCTCTAAAAGGTGCTAGATGTAGTATTAAAATAATGTTGAACCCGAGCTATTCAGTTGGCGGCCCCAGACTGGGTCCGTCCCACGAGGTAGTTTGAACTGGCCCGGATTACTGGTCACTTGTATATGAGTACTCTCATACAGCTCATGCTGCATCCTCCAGTACCATAGGTAGCGGTATGCACTTTTTTAAACTATGGTTGCCATAAGCTATTAAATCAAAAGAAGATGAAGAAGCATTACCTGTTTCAATCACACCAACCACAGAAGAAGTAGCTGAATCACAGGAAGCAGTATCTTAAAGTGGAGTTAAGTTACTATTTTTTAAGACTAATTAATTTAACATTTTGTGATGTTTTTGTTTCTTGGAGTGCCTTTTCTAACATACACGGACATTTGACTACATTTACAACATGAGTTCAGGGAAACTTATTCCCCTGATAAACACACCTGTCAGCTTTCATGTTGCATGACACATGTACTGTGCAACCTTGCTACCCCTCTTCATGACTCCAACCCTACTTTGTCCACCTCCACTTCCACTCACCCCTCTGATCAGATATCAAACCTGATGACCTTCTTCTAAAAGGCTCCAAGACAAAGGAAAAGAGCAAAGAGAAGAAGGGCTACAAGGACAATAAGAAGGGCCAAGCTGCAGACGGCTCTGAGAAACGACCGGTTAAAGCAAAAGTAGACGAGCTGATGGTCAGTACGTCATTCACACATTCATACCAGCACACAATAGTACACATCTAGATACAACGCTTAATGTGTTTGTTATGTTATGCAGGTGTACAACAAGGAGCTGGAGAGTGAGTACGGCAACTTTGAAGACTGGCTGCACACTTTCAACTTGTACAGAGGAAAGGCCGGGGATGATGATGAACACGCTCTGGATGATGACAGGATTGTTGGCAGATTCAAGGTGGGAAAACCCTGAGTAAAAATTAGTACTTCTCAGCCCAGTTGCAGCCTCCTCGGCTGAAATCTAAAGCCAACACGGAAGTGCCTTAAATGGCCACTTGAGGCTGGCTCCAAAAGCAAGTCAATCCCATAGACCATATAAATAATGGACGTAGCTACCATGACATTACCCATTGGATTGTGGACTGCCGTTTCTAAGCCTTGAGTTCTGCATTCCAGCCATCGCCATCTTGGTTTTTCTGGAGCCAGAAGTTAACATATTTGGACGAGATGGGACAAAATGGTAGTCCACAAACCAGTAAGTGACATCACTGTGGCTGCGTCCATCATTTTTATACAGTCTAAGGTCCCAGCCTACACTAATTGAAAGAACATAAGTCATAGAGCAAAAATACACTTGTTTTTATGCCTCCGCATTTGCAAAAGCCATGGCCGGAAGCCTTATGTTGTTGGGTTGTCCGTCTATCCGTACCTCCGTCTGTCTATAAGCTACATCCCATTCTGGTGAACCCCAAATCTCAAGAACACCATGACGGAATTTTTTTCAAATTTATTTGGACTCAGAGATGAAGCAATTAGATCTTAGTGGTCATAGGTCAAGGTCAGTGTGTCCTTGCATCTGTCTTATTCTCATGAACAGGATATCTCACAAAGGCCTTGAGGGAGTTTCTTTAAATTTGACAGAAACATCCACTTGGACCAATGATGAACTGATTAGAGGTTGGTGGTCAAAGGTCAAGGTCACTGTGGCCTTTTTTGTCTCATTCTTGTGAACAAGATATCTCAATAACACCATGAAGGAATTTCTTGAAATTTGGCACAAATTAAACAATGAACTGATTAGATTTTGAGTGGTCAAAGGTTACTGTGACCTTGCATCTGACTCATTCTCGTGAATGCGGTATCTCAAGAAATCCTTTTCACAGACGTAGATGACATAGATGTAAACTGTTTAAAAAAAAAAAAAAAAAAAGACTGGTGCGCAAAGGCATACAAGCGCAAGGCAGTAATTCTAGTTTTCAACCTTTTTTTTTTTTTTTTTTTGCTGTGACCCAGGGGTCCTTATGTATGTACAAGCTACCCCTGTCTGAGGAGATCACAAGAGAGGCAGGATTTGATCCTAATATGGGCATGTTCCAGAGCATTCCACATAACGATCCAATCAACGTCCTCGTCCGTGTCTTTGTGGTCAGGGTGAGTGACCTCCTTATCATTTCACTCTATAAAAAACTCATTCAGCATAATAAACATATAGAGATAAATATTCTGTGTGATTGTTGTGGTTTATTCTGCTTTTCTCTTTCTTAGGCTACAGATCTTCATCCAGCTGATATCAATGGGAAGGCTGATCCATACGTTGTCATCAAGCTGGGCAAGTCAGAGGTCAAGGACAAAGAGAACTACATTTCCAAACAGCTCAATCCTGTATTTGGCAAGTAAGTTGAGAGAAAGCTACTCTTCATCTAGTTCCAGTTTGGTGTCACATGATTGTAGAGCAGCAAAAAAGTCTAGCTGCCAAAAAAATGTTGTGCAGCAATATTCTGAACGAGCCTGAATCTGTTACCCTCCTCACACTAGCTTTTATCTCGGAATTTTTCCACTTGACTTAATTTGTTTATCCTACATCTGTGCTCAGATCATTTGACATTGAAGCCACATTCCCCATGGAGTCCATGTTAACGGTGTCTGTGTACGACTGGGACCTGGTTGGCACTGACGACCTGATCGGAGAGACAAAGATTGACTTGGAGAATCGTTTCTACAGCAAATACAGAGCAACCTGTGGCATCTCATCCAACTATTCTGTGTGAGTATCCATGTGTTTTATCCTTTACGCGTTTTGGTTATTTGTTTAGTTACAGTGTCACCATATGAAACCCAACACCTGTCTTAATTTAGTTTACTTTGTAATTTGACAAGGATAAGAGGTTTATTAATTGTGGTAATAAAAAATGCTATCATTACTCTTAGGCTATATTGTGTAAGCATCTCAAAAGCCCCAACTGGATCCTATGTTCTACTGTATAGATTATAACTTCCTGAATAGCTCACATACCTAATGACTTCAGATGTTCAACTGCTCTTTGTCATCTATTGATGTTAGCCATGGATACAATGTTTGGCGGGACCCTATGAAGCCCAGTCAGATTCTGGCGAAGCTCTGTAAAGACGGCAAGATTGATGGACCTCATTATGGGCCAGGGGGCAAAGTCAAGGTGGCCAATCGAATCTTCCTGGGACCTACAGAGATCGAGGATGAAAATGGTATGGCTGTATTTCTCTCCTTAAACTGAGATTCTGTAAAAGTTAACATGGAATTAAACATCTTTTCTGGTCATCACTCAATGTCAGATTTTAGGAGCAGAAGGGGAAACATTTGGTTAGGTACTGAACTGGTGACACTAATCTTGGGTGTCCACCTTGACACTTTGCTAATTGTGTAGATCTTCTGTGCTGCTGGGGGAAGATGTTTGTGAAGCATCCATGTTTTTAAAGACATGGATGGACTGCACAATCTGACTGGTGCCCAGAGGCATACAACTACAAGGCAGTAATTCTAGTTTTCAGTGGGGTTCAATAAGATACCAATCTATAGTCATTGCCAGTATATGGCAATAGGCATGCTCCTAGTTTGGAGAAGCAGAAGGGAGGACTGACATGGAAGCCAAGTGATGTACTGCTGTGGATGGTGGTTAGCAGCAAAACATATTTCAGCCATCTAAAAAAAACATCAATATCAGCCTATGTGGACACTATACTGAGAATATTTTCACCTCTTTACCTGGCTGTCACAGCCCTTTCTTTTGGCATTACTTTTTCAAATCTGTAGAACTTCAGTATTCCTACTTATCAGTACAGCTGTGCGCCTCAAGGCAGCTGTTTGAGTCAGACTGTCAGGGCTTTATGGAAAAGACAACAAATACAAGGAAATGAAAAACTGAATGATTATGACAGTGATGATGAAAAGCTGTTCATATGGAGACAAAAGGATACCTTAATGAATCAGAGTATAGAGAAGAAGAACTGACCTGTAACATAATACAGAATGCAGCACAGTTGCACTTATGCGTAGGTTTGGTTTGGTCCGATTTCAGTGTTTCCCTTTACACCTTTATCTTCTTTGGTTTGTGTCGATATCTCAGGTCTGAAGAAACAGACAGAGGAGCATTTGGCTCTGACGGTGCTGAACCACTGGGAGGAGATCCCGAGGGTGGGCTGTAAGCTCGTCCCAGAACACGTGGAGACCAGACCCCTGCTGAACCCCGACAAACCCGGCATCGAACAGGTAGGAGAGAGCCACGCTTGTTTGGAGTCATAAAACAGATTGAATGTACAGTTCAGCTGTATATATTCCTCTGTACGTTCAAAGGGCCGTATTGAGATGTGGGTGGATATGTTTCCTATGGACATGCCTGCTCCTGGACCTGCGATTGACATATCACCAAGGAAACCAAAGAGGTAGGTTCAGGCTGGAGCAAACAAGACAAACATCACTATGAATATGATGCTTTCTGATTTTGAATAACTGTAAATCCATTGCAGATTTTATTGGAAAGATATTTGTTAATTGGAAAATTCTTGAGTTTTTCCAACAGAGTACATAGTTTTATCCCCTGGTTAAATTATGGTGAGTCTGATTGACTAGTTAGCTCTCCACTTACTGTCAAATATTAGTCCAACCATGTGTTCCTTCCTCCCCCCCTTACCAGATATGAGCTCAGGGTGATTATTTGGAATACAGACGAAGTAATACTGGAGGACGATGATTACTTCACTGGGGAAAAGTCCAGTGACATATTTGTCAGGGGGTAGGTACAGCGGGACGCGGCGACCAAGCCTCGTCCCGTGGATGTGAGCTGTGTGTGGATTTTTTTTTTTTTTTGCAGTTAACCATTATTTTTTTTGTTTTGTTTCCATTTTTATCTGTGTGCGTTTTTGTGTTGTTTGTCTTTGTGTTTGTGGTGTGTCTCCCTGTCTGTCGTCCTCTCTCTCTCCTCCGGTCAATGCTCTGCTGCTGTCTAGCTTTGAGCTTCGTGTTGTTATTTGGAACACTGATGACGTAATTCTAGAGGACGATGCTTTCATGACAGGAGAGAAGATGTCTGACATCTATGTCAGGGGGTAAACACACGATTCCATCGCATGGCTCGTTAAACTACCTCCCCTCCTTCCTCCTGAAGCCCCGGAGTCATTTTTTTCTCCCCTTTCCAACTCTCCATCCAGCACGTAACCTCGCTTGTATTAAATTCTCAAATGGCACGCTGAACACCAATGCCAAATGAAAAGTGAGATCAGTCAGGATCAAACCACATAAACAACCTGTTGAGTACAATCGTAATCATACTTAGTCGATATACACCAAAACAGTCCACGGGTATGCTGAGAATTAAAGTTCGTTTATGACCTTGGAAACTGCAGAAGCCAATAATCTAACATGGACATAAAGCCCTTCAGGTGCTCAGAGAAATATTTTTAAACATCTACATTGTCATGACTAACTGCTGTCTTCTTTTGTTTTTTTTTTTGTCAAAGTTTTTTTACTTTGAACTACAATTTTTTTGGTCAAACTACTATTTTATTTTGTTCAACTACCATTTTCTTGTCTTTTTGTAAAGCTATTTCTTGTGTTTCTTGTTTTGTATTTTTTATGAAACTACTATTTATTTTATTTAATGAAACCACAGTTTGTTTGTTTGTTTTGTCAAACTATTTTTAATTTTCTTTTTTTGTCACTACTATTTTCATTTACTTTGTTAAACTACCAATTTGGTCTCTTTTTTTTTTTTTACCAGACTACTAGTTTTTGTGTGTTATTTTGTGAAACCACCATGTCTTTGGTCAAACTATTTCAATTTTGGTAAACTAAATTTTTTTCTTGTCTACATTGTATTTTTTTTTTTTTTTTTTTTACTACTTTTTTTTTTTTTAAGTATTTTTCTTTTTTGTTAAAGTACACATTTTCATCAAAATACGATTTCCAAGTCGAGAGCAAACTTGTATCCTCATCTGTGATTATGATGAGGATGATGACAATGGTACGATGTATTACCTTTTGTGGTTTGGTCCTGTATTGTAGATTTTACTCAAAATTTTTCAAGACTTTCAAGATATTTGTAATTTAAATTTTAAGGTATTTGGAGCCTCTTGCATGTATCTGAGTAAATAAATAAGAATATGCATGTCAGTACGACAGAGCTCCAATGTTCTTGATAACATTGTTGTGTTGCAGACTAGTGACAATAATGGGCCCTTTTCATGGCAGGCATTTTGACTTGACGTCAGGTGCCGTTACATTGGCCTTCCGTCCAGTGAGACTGCCTCACATTGACCCCCAAAAAATAACTGGGAATGCATGTCTGAATTAATTTAGTGTATGAACTCAGCAGATACTCACAGGATGGACGTGTAATGTGACGATACACCTGTGATAGAAACAGCACTGATGTATCTAATAACATTAATAATGTCTCATTCCATTAAGTGTCCCAGTCAGCCATTGCAGTACAGCATGCGCAATAACACCTACATGCAATGCAGCCATTATTAATGATTTTAATTGTGCTTTTCTTGCTGCTACATGTAAAATGTCCACAATGAAAAAGGTCTTTTGACATTTAACTCCTGTTTAAAGTCAGTAATGTCAGCGTCATGCGGAGCCTCCTCACTCCTGCATCTCTTAACCAAACTCACTTTTCCCTCAGCTGACTTGGTGTCACTGGCGGATGTGTCACCTAAGGACTGCACTGTAACAAACAGGGTGCCATCCTCAAACAACCCTAAATACTTGGAGGATGATTGAAGTATTTTAGAAGTTGTTCAGTGCTGTGGAGTTCAGTGACTGACCCAGCTGTCCTTATTGACAGTAGTGAAACGAGGATGGGTTGTTTCAGATGGATCCAGTGTTGTGATACAGTGGTTATGATTCAGTTGTTGGGTCACATGAGATCAGGCATGTTTTAGTGGCATCATGTCCTCTGTAGCCAACAAACCCCAATGCCTCTCCATCTTAACCCCGGCCTTATTTATGCCAGAGCATCTCAGTAGTTTAATCATAGCACATTCCCTCACATTTTAGGCCGACAACCCTTTGTCAGCTTACTTTTTTATGTTTTCAGTGTTGCGTTTTGAGAAGAGATGGCAGCTTCCCTCCTGCTCCTCCTCCTCCTCACTAATAAAGCCAGTCTCACTCTACTGTTAATGAAAGAGCTCCAGCCGGCACAGACTGTCCTCATAGCCTTTGATCCTCAGCTCTCTGCATCCAGACACTACAGATGAAAGGGTTTTTGTTTTTTTTTGTTTGGGTTTTTTTTTTAAAGGAAAATTTCAGATAAATTTCACTGATGGCATTTTTGCAAGCTTTGTGTATGCATGGCTTTGAAAATAGTGTGAAGCTCCAACATCAAATCAGATTTTTATGAATCATTCAGCAACGTTTTTGACATTATCTCACACAGATTTATTAATCTGATTTGCTTTTGGGGAGCCACATTATGTGTTTTGAATTTTGACCTATTAGCATCATCTCTCTTGTTGGCAGACTGCTACATTTGACATGTCCTGTGCTCCTGTTCAAGTCAACCAAATTAATATTTAATAACTAACACACTATTGTAGTTTCCTACTTGATCGACCTTAGAAGTGCATGACTGACAAAATCAAACAAAAACTACTCGCTCACCCAGACCACGGTCCTGAAGGTGAACCTAACTCTGGTCTCTGTGGTTCTTCTCTGCTCACAGATGGCTCAAAGGGCAGCAGGAGGACAAGCAGGACACAGATGTGCACTATCACTCCCTGACCGGTGATGGAAACTTTAACTGGCGCTTCGTCTTCCCCTTCGATTACCTCATGGCTGAGGAGAAGATCGTCATTTCTAAGAAAGAGTCCATGTTCTCCTGGGATGAGACTGAATATAAGATCCCTCCTCGCCTCACGATGCAGGTCTGGGATGCCGACCACTTCTCTGCTGATGACTTCCTGGGTGAGGAAACACTACAGAATTTACCATCTGATTAAATCATAAAAACAGCCAAAGCATCACCATCCTTACTGTCTTTAACAATCGCCACTCCCAGGTGCAATCGAGTTGGACCTAAACCGGTTCCCTCGTGGCGCCAAGACGGCCAAGCAGTGTTCCCTTGACATGATCCGAAATGAGCAGGAGCTGCCCACGATTTCCATCTTCAAACAGAAGAGGGTCAAGGGCTGGTGGCCGTTTGTAGCCCGTGATGAGAACGATGAGATGGAGCTAACTGTGAGTCAGTCATGAAATGCATAACAGCACGAGCAAAGTCACAACGGCAGGGTGGCACCACATCTCAACAGTCTTTTCAAAACTGCACTTAGAGAGCCACATTCAACTGAGTAAAAGATGAAATAAACTCAACTGTAAAATGCCATAGCCAGACTCTTAAGTCATGATAAATACTGGAAGGGACACAGTAGATGATGTTAAAGTAAAGTTTATTTATTGCAACAAAGTGAACAACAGCAAAATAAACTCCATATGGAGTGTGGTCAGTCAGTAAGTCAGTGATGTAGATATGAGTGAAGTGTAAGGTGTTGTGAAGCAAAAGCAAAAGAAATACCACAATTCTCAATACCCAATTCAAAACCATGGTTAAAAAACAAAAACTACCATCTAATTAAACATACATTCCTTTATTAAAACATTTAAAAAAGTGACTGTGACAAGAGCAGAAGTTGAGGATTTTTTAACTTTTGGCAACCACCCCCTCTGGGCCTGAAGAATTGCAGAAAAGTGAGTAACGTCACATATTCAGAATTTTGGCATCAACTTGGTACCACAGTGTCAGTTCTCGTGACAACCCTTGTACCCAACCTGGGTGTCAGGAACCCCTGGGGTCCCAAGATAAATCTAAAGAATTGAAACCACTGCACTGATCTACACAGAACAGAGAACAAAGATCAGGTATCTGTATACTCAAGGCATCTAGCTGATTGATTTAACTTTTCACATGCATCATATGTTGTCATTGCAGGGTAAGGTAGAAGCTGAGCTTCATCTTGTGACAGCGGAGGAGGCAGAGAAAAGTCCTGTAGGACTGGGACGAAATGAGCCTGATCCACTGGAGAAACCAAAGTAAGATGTTAACGTTTATTCAGAGTATATGTAGAGTCTAATGCTCACAAACACACACACATTTATTTCACTAATCAAATGTGAGGATGTTGTGATAAAAGGTGCAGACATGTCCCTTAAATCACCTCTTCAGTAAAATCATTCTCACAGTGCAAAACGCAGTGAATCAAATGTTACAGATCACCATCAGTCAGGACCTCATATTTAACAAAGGTGTGATTTGGTCTTGTTTGACCCTTGCGCTTCTTTTTGCACTGTCAAAAGGCCTCTGTTACACTTTCGCACTCGTTTCTCCTCCTACCATCTCTTCAACTGTCTCCCTCTGTCTCCCCCCTCCTCTCCTATCTGTGTGTGTGACTCCCCCTTTCTCCTTACCCTTTCTCCCTGTTTTTGCCTCCATCTGCATTCCTTCCTTTCTTCCTTCCCTCCCTCTCTCTACCTCCTTCCGCGAAGTCGCCCGGACACCAGTCTAATGTGGTTTCTGAGCCCCCTGAAGTCCATTCGTTACTTCATCTGGCACAACTACCGCTGGCTGATCCTCAAGGTCCTGGGGCTGATACTGCTGCTGCTCATGCTGGGCCTCTTCCTCTACTCTATCCCTGGCTACCTGGTCAAGAAGATGCTGGGGGCCTGACTCGCTGGTAGCCTCCGCCCCCTCCTCGCTGTCTCTGCTTCTCTATTTAACCCCCTTGCTTCCTGGATTCTGCTGTCCTACCTGTAGCTGCTCCTCTCCTGTCCCGCCAAAACTCAGCTTCTTTGTTTCTCCTCTGTCGTCTCAGCTGTAGAATAGTCTCTTTCTTCTGCTGTATTTTGTATCAGATCTCTGTGCCAACCAGTGTCCCTTGTCACCAAGTGCCATTACACATCTTACATGTGACCAACTGTTTTGTGTGGCAGTATGTGGGTGGGGCAGTTTGTAGGTATGGTTCACATCATATGTAGAGGTGGGAAAGATTCACATGTAACAACTTACTGTACAAGCTTTAACGTCTAAACGTCTAAATCCTTTTCAGACAACACCACAACAGATCCTCACTGGCATCAATGTGAGGCACCTCAATGAAAAGTAATTAACATAATAATCAAACTGGAATATGTGAATTCAGGTTTCTTATGTTCCATATTATGACCTTTATATAAAATCCTCAAAAAATAAATAAAACCACTAACGTGGATACTGTGTGTTGATGTTATTACACACAATCCAGACTTATAGTCAAACTAAAATACAAGCCCAGTAAACGTACAGTTCCAATATTTGGAACTGTACATTTCTGCAAACCATGGGTACTTTACATTTGCATGTTTCATATGCATCAAATTAATGTTCCTGAAGTGACGTAGAATATGAGCTGACTTTGTCATCAAGAGGTGCACAGGGTGGTGGATGGCGTGCAACCCACAGACCACTGTTTGAAAACAACAGACAACTAAAATGGTTGTTTAGCAAGTCGTAGCTGTTTTTCCACCCAGGATGGTGCCATGAGAAGCAGTTTTATTTCACAGAGATCGCTGCATTTATTACAGAGATTCTGCCACTGGGTTTTTTTGTTTGTTTTTTTTACCTAGAAATTGCTGCACTTCCTGTCAGGATAGTGCCACAAAAAACAGGGTTTTTGTTTTCTAAGACATAGCTGCATTTCCAATGTGCCCCCAAAACACGGCATTTTAAGCCAAACACTAGGCTCATTCAAGGAGGCGGAGACAAAAAGCCACCGTTAAGTTTCCAGCAGCATTTAGTCTGTACAGGAAGTCACAGAAACACATCCTGTTAGATCTGGTGCCGATTTACTAATATGTTACTGCAACTGCAGCACCTGGGTCTGAAAACTGCAGCCGCCTTGACCTAGTAAGAACATCGTTGGCCGCTTTTACATGAGCATGCACTGTGTGACAATTGCCGGTGATCAAATCTGCGCAGGCCTGACTCATCTCAAACAGACAAATAAACAAATAACAGTGTTGTTCGAATGAAAGTTTTAATGTATCCGCTACATAACGTACAAATGTAAGGTATTTGTGGTTTGAAGAAAGATGCCAGTGAACGTCTGGTTAAAGAACAAACGGCCCTGGACAAACATGAGTGTTTGGAGCTGTTGGTCAGTCATCCATCCATCCATTTTTATCATCATATTCATTGTGTGTATGTTTTTAACTGTTCAGCTTTTACTCTGTGATGTGATCTTTTGGTCCTCTGACACATTGTATTGATAAACATGTGAGCATGCTGTAGTATAAAAATAACTAAATGCAACATGGCTGGCTAACCACTAACGCCAGCTTTCTCTCTCTTTTACTCCTCCCATGTTTCATCCCATTTCTCTCTTCCCTTTCTCACCCTTCATTTACTCGCTCTTCCATCCCCCTGCATGCCTCCTTCGCCAAATTACCTTCACCTTCCTCTTCCTAAAACCTCCATCCCTCCCTGTAGTCGCCCAGACACCACCTTCCTGTGGTTCCTGAGCCCGCTGAAAGCCATCCGCTACCTGGTGTGCAACCGCTACAAGTGGCTAATCATCAAGATCGTGCTGGCCCTGCTGCTGCTCATCATGCTGGGCCTCTTCCTCTACAGCATGCCGGGCTACCTGGTCAAGAAGCTGCTGGGGGCCTGAGAGGCTGCTGGGAGGACAGGACAGGGTGGGGCGGGGGGTGGCCAGCCGAATAGATGGATGAAGAGAGGTTGGGGGAGACACAGAGAGTAGATGTTGGTTTGTGGGCGCAGACAGAAGGAGAGTGCTTGGAGTCTCACAAGGGGAAAGATATCAGATTGCATTATTTCCTCCTCTCTAATCCATTCTGATGGTCACAAACAGCTCGCCACCTTCCTCCTTCGCTCTGCAGAGAGAGGCAGAAACCACCTAAATGACTTTTTATCCCCCCGAGTCATGAGAAACACTAACTGTCTAATCTTCCATCCAATCTGCAGCAAGCCTAACAAACCTAACGCTCAGTATCTGGACTCCATCCTTGAACTGACTCTAAAGCAATCCTTTGCCACAAAGTTTAACCCCTGATGTTCTTCTTCTTTTCCAGCAATGTTACATGACAATGAATGTTTCTTTATCTGTTTATACAGCCTCTCGTTTATTTATTGATTAAGTTTATTTAGCGTGTCGGGTTAGTGGTCAGACGATTGCATGGACATTCATTTCAAGTGATGCTCTAAGATCTCCCATTACTGTTCTAATGTCTGCTGTTGATTTAAGTTCTTAGGGAACAAATGAACAATGTGTTTAATAACACTTTACTCTAATCCCCCTTTCAGCATTTATAAGCACTATATGAATATTTAATAAAAGGGTTTACTGTATAATACACTATGATGTAGTTGTAAGCAAAAATACGGACATTTTTAAGTGTTTATTAATGTACAGTAATTGTCAACGATTATTCTTTCTCCCATGAACACATTTTATATGATTACCCTTGTGTTTAACTATGTTATTTATTATCTGTTTATACACCAGCCTCCAGTTATGAGTGCCTGCAGGACAAGTTACAGTTGTTGACAGATACATTAATAAACACTTGTTTTTATATGTCACTTATAAATGCTAAACATGGGGGATTAAAGCTAAGTGTTACATTTTTTTATTAAATTATATAGCTCTTGCAGTCTTTGCACACTTCAAGAATAATAATGAAGAAACAAAAATAAAGATGTCTATTTTCCTAATGAAATCCGATGAGACATTGAACAAGATGACTTCAAAATTAAATGAATTATCAATAAGCGTTCGACAGGGTTTAATTCAACTGAAATGTATCAAAGCAACAAAACCAGACTTGAGTCAAAAAGTATTTGTAGGTAATTACCGAAAAAAGACAACAGGAGAATAAGGCATATTATCTGCAGATATTGTTTGACAAATTCTGGTTGAAACATCTTCAAAAGCAACAGACAGTACAAGGTCATTACTGTTTTCTACCAAAATGTAGACTTATATGTCAATATGCATGCATCATTGTGATAACTGACCACAGAGGTAATGTGTGTTGGCATGACCATCTCTCCAAATCACCGACCCTGCTCTCTTTAACATTACAGATGATGTAAAGGTGATTTCATGGGAATACGATTAAAGTGCACTTGAGGGGGGTTTTGAAAGGGGGTTGATTATTTAAATCCTGGCTCCATCTTTGTTTCAGATGGTGTTGTTTGCAGTGTCCGTTACTCCCTTTCAAATTTGACTGTGCTTGACCTCATTTGTGTTGCAGTCTTTGTTTGTGATTCTGTGTTTCACCAATTACAGAGTTATCGTTTGCACTAAACTTGCCTGTTTTTACAATGAATTTGTGTTTATATATCTGTTGAAATGTGTGCAGTATTTATTTTTTGTCTCTTTTGGCATTGTGAAATAAACTGAATTCCATGGACATGTTTAAAGATTGGTAAAGCAGCTGTAATTCATATTTTATTGTTAACGATGGATCACATAACTATTTGTACGTGACAGGGGTCGCTTTCATTACTTTCACTAGCATACATTTAATACACTATTCAGCTCCTGCATTAAAATACACCCCACTTACAAGCATCAAGTTAGGAATGACAACTTAAAGAAAGCTACTGTTGCTCTGCAACTAGTGGCACCCAGCAAGTGCTGACTGAATTAAGTGCAGTCAGCAAACTAGTGCTGTTACCTAAAGTTATATGAGGGTATGCAATAAAACAAAATGTCACTTAAGATCATAGTATAACATGTCATGAAAAATATCATCAAAAAGTCATACTATAGTATATAATAAAGAAACGTTTTTGTTTTTAAAGTCATACTATAGTATAAAGAGGTCATGGTATAGTATGTCTTAAAAAACGTCATACCTCGTCAAAAATCATGTCGTCAAGAGCCATGAAAAAACTCCATAGTATAGCATGTTGTCAAATACCATGAAAAACAGTCATAGTATAGTATGTACTCAAAACCCATGAAAAAACATCACAGTATAGTATGTCGTCAAAAATCATGAAAAAAAGTCACAGAAGAGTGTCGTCAAAAATCATTTAAAAGTCATAGTATAGTTTTTCGTCCAAAATCATGAAGAAAAATCATAGTATAATGTGCTGTCAAAAACCATGAAAAAAAGTCATAGTATAGTATGTTGCCAAAAATCATGAATAAAAGGTCATAGTATAGTATGTCGTCCAAGACCATGAAAAAAAGTCAAAGTATAGTATGTTGCCAAAAATCATGAATAAAAGGTCATAGTATAGTATGTCGTCCAAAATCATGAAAAAAACTCACAGAATAGTATGTCGTCAAAAATCATTTAAAAAAGTCATAGTATAGTTTTTCGTCCAAAATCAAGGAAAAAAATCATGGTATAGCATGTCGCCAAAAACCATGTAAAAAAAGTCATACCATAGTATGTCGTCCAAAATCGTGAAAAAAGTCATAGTGTAGCATGTTGCCAAAAACCATGTAAAAAAGTCATAGCATAGTATGTCGTCCAAAATTATGAAAAAAAACTCATGGTATAGCATGTCGCCAAAAACCATGTAAAAAAAGTCATAGCATAGTATGTCGTCCAAAATCATGAAAAAAAGTCATATTATGGCATGTCGCCAAAAACCCTGAAAAAACATCATAGTATAGTATGTAGTCAAAAACCATGAAAATAAGTCATAATATAGTATGTCATCCAAAATGATGAAAATAAGTCATAGTATAGCATGTCTCCAAAAACCATGTAAAAAAGTCATAATATAGCATGTCGTCTAAAATCATGACAGAAAGTCACAGGATAGTATGTCGTCCAAAATCATGAAAAAAAGTCATAGTATAGTATTTTGCCAAAAATCATATAAAAAGTCACAGTATAGTATGTCGTGCAAAATCATGAAAAAAAGTCAGAGTATAGTTCATTCATTCTAACCGCTTCATCCTCTTGAGGGTCGCGGGGGGGCTGGAGCCTATCCCAGCTGACATCGGGCGAGAGGCGGGGGACACCCTGGACAGGTCGCCAGACTATCACAGGGCTGTCATAGTATAGTATGTCGTCAAAAACCATGAAAAAAAGTCACAGTATAATATGCCGTCAAAAACCATGAAAATAAGTCATAGTATAGTATGTCGTCAAAAACGCAATAATAAAAAAAAATGCAATAATATAGTATGTCATAAAAAATAACATCAAAAAGTCATAGTCTAGTATGTGATTAAATATCATTTCAAAAGTCATAGTATTCTATGCTATGGAAAATTATTACATCATCAAAAATATCATGAAAAAGTCAGAGTGAAATATATTCATTTTCTAGAGACAACACTTTGCATTCTGTGCCTACAACAGATTATCAATAATGCAACCAGGCAGGACACAACTCAGACACCAAACATGAGCGACAACAAATACGAAGAGCTATGAGAACAAGCTTCACAGCCACAAATAAAATACTGTGCAACACAGAAATCACCGACATGTATCAACATCAACTCAACAGCAGCTGCAGCTACAAACACAAGTTTTTACCCAAGGTGTGGTGAAACATGAACATTTTCCTCTGGGGGAGTCGCATCCATCTGAATAAGCTGGTTGTTGTACTCACCTGTCTGAACGGCATTCTGCAGGTGTGCACCATAAACTCCTCCACAGTCTGCTCCATCTTCAACTTATTTTAACGCTCCTCAAATGTTTCAAACACTCTGAGAGCTGAGTGAGGCTCTAAAGCCATATTAAAGATTAACAGTAGCAAAGTAGCAGAAAAGCCGCACACACCTCAGTGAGGATAAAAGTTAAATAGTGAAAGCAGAGGGTCTCACCATGTGCAAGTTAGCAATTACCGTTTCACACTGACCCCAAACGCACCTGTTAGTGACGTAATAATACTCAGCAGAAATGTTTTTGTAAAAACTTTATTTAGAACAATTCAGTATTACACTTCCTCACAGGAATATTACCTTGCAGGCTTTAAAACAATAACAAACAGGTTCAAAACAAGGCTTTATTTGCAATAAATAACAAGTAGTAACATAGTCTATTTAAATCAAAGTAAAAATTAAAACAATATAACATGTACATAGTGCAGCTATTTCACACAGTAAACCCATAATGGTAGAAGATCCAACTCAATGAATAAATAATACAAAACAAACATCTTGGTCAAAACACATTTTTTGCATTTGTGTATCAGTTAATAGATATAGAAAACAAAAATACTTTTAATCTATTACTAAACAAAGTAAGGTATGATATAATAATAATATTTACTGAGTATCATTACAGTTTATCCATTTGTTTTTATTCTGTAAGGGATATTACTTGAAATGTGAGGGGGAAAAAAACTTGAGATAAAAAAATATAGAAAAATGTATATACTCAAATAAAATTATTGGTTTTTAGTGCACAAGAAAAGAACTGTTGATCACTGAGGGGAAACTGTGATTAGTTACATTCGCTCCAATATAAAGAATAGATAATTATGAGAAGAATATGAAATAGAACTATGTAAATATAAAATAATAAAATAAAATAGAAATAAAAATGTGCATTATGCTACAATGTTTAACACTAGTACTTAAGATAGTAAGAATAAAATACATATCTTCACTGTGCTAAGTCTGTAAAAAATTCAGTAATTAAAAACCTGTTGATTCAATATTTATGTTATTTTTTCCTGTAGTCACATATTCTTCAGTCCTCTTCATATGGAAATAATAATGTTAACTGTCTGCTTCTCTCTGTGCAGTCGTCCCGGCAGCAGCATGTCGTGGCTGCTGAGCCCTCTGAGGACGATGTGTATCCTGGTGTGGAGGCAGTACAGGCTGCACTGTGTGCTGCTGCTGATTGCTGTGTTGGCTCTGCTCTTCCTGGTTCTGCTCTTCTACTCGTTCCCCTCAGAGCTCAGCCACAAGCTCTTCAACCCTGCTGGATGAAACCTCTGTATTGTACTCTTCTGTATTCACTTTGTACCCCACATGAGCTGTTGTGTGTCTTACTAATGTTACAGTTAACTGTTCTGCCTGTTTTTTTTTCTGAGGCTGTAAAAATAAAAAAGTGCAACCACAACATGATTTAATAGAGGCTTTATTTTACAGTGACTATAAATCATGTATACTCAGATGATCTCACACACACTGTCCCAGTCCTGCTGATCCCACGGTGAGTTTGGATTATGGCGTCTCCAGCTCTGTGCCAACGTATCAGACAATCAAAGATGTCAGCTTTACTATTTTCTATACTATTAGGCATTTTCTGAGCGGAGGAACTTTTTCAAGCTTCTAAGGATATAGTTCTTAGAAGGCCCCTTTTTGTTGCGTTCACATCGTAAGAACTAGGAATGATCGAAGAGGAAATATAACACTAAATGTGAAGCTGAAATGGGAAAAAGAACTAGTCGTGAATATTATAGAAGATGGTTGCATATTTAGAGAACACAACAGTCAACAACATCCTCTCACACTGTTGGAAGAATATAGATTCTGTATTACACCACAGATTAAAAGCAAATACTATTTATATGGCTATTATCAAAATTTTGGGCTATGATGTACCTAGATCATACATGATATTGTACATAGGCAGTATGATAGTAGGAACTGTGTTAAGAGAAGACAGATACCTCCTGAAAATCTTATTTGAAGCCTGTAAAAAGGCCATCATGAAGAGATGGTACAAGGAAGAACCACCAACACAAGATGAATGGCTGAAATTTGTGAATTAAATATATGATATGCAACTATTAACTCATAGGATAAGGACTGAGATGACGAGAGAAATGGACAATGTTTGCATATCAACAACAAGATGAAAGATTGAGTCACTGACTATGTCACAGGGATAGATTGTAAAAACGTTAATCTTAGAAAGGCATTTTGGGAGCCTTTTTTTAAGCTCCTATTTTAGAGTAGTGCAAGAGGAACACAAACACACACACATACTCATGAGTTGAGGGACTGTTGCAGCAGCGTCCACGGCTCTGCGTTCTGCTGCTTCACACATCCCTCAGGGATGAGCTCAGAGATCTCCGTCAGGGCCGCACTGGAAACAAAGACAAAACATTTGAGTGCAGATAGATGTTTTTGTGTGTGTGTGTGTGTGTGTGTGTGTGGTTGTTAATCATTCGTACTGTACTGCTTTAGTCTGCATCGTCCCAGAGTTTCACTTTGCTCTCATGGATGATATTGCCCATGCTCTTCCAGTAGGCCTTACTCTCTGAAGTATGCCGGCCTGCAACATGAAAGATGTGATGTTGGCGGGCAGCACTCTCCCTTAGAAGCACCAGAAACACATTAGCATGACTAATGTATAACATAATTTCATGTTGAAATCTCACAGACAGTCCAGATAACAACCATAACACAGCCTCTGTTGGCATGAACATACAAACATGATGGAGACTAATTCATGAGTGTAACCGTGGTCTTACTTTGACCTCCTGTGCTGCTGGAGGAAACTTTTTAGAGCAGGCACCACATGGTTAGGAGCGATGAGTCCAGAGGTCGGATGTGTCGCAGACCTGGTCTCCACTACACCCAACTCAGCAGAAACATCCTGCAGGCAGACAAAACACACAAAGAATAATTGTCTCATTTCATTTGTCTTGTTTATCAAAGACTCAAGGACGTATTGTGAACAAGCATCCATTCTCTGCATCTCTCTCCCTCCTCACCTCCGTCTGCTCTCTCTGCTGCCGTTCATACTTTAATAAGAAATGAGCCAACCTGGGCACGTCCTGCTCTCCAAGGCCAAGAGTCTGGAGGAGAAAACAATATGTCTGGTTGTTGAGTATCTGCTCCATACAGTCCAGCTACACACTGATGCATTACACTGCATGAACTCACACAGAGGAGGGAGTCCATTTTCACAACGGTCTGTTTCTCCTTCTCCAGAGGAGCCAGCAGGGTCAGGAGTTTATCATCCATCAGGAAGTGCTGAGACAGAAGGAAGGGAAACTTTGAGTTGAAGATGCTCGTCACATAATTTCATGGATGATTGAAAAGAATGATCGGAGGAGCCCGAATCTGTTTCAACATGAAATTAGCTCAATTGACATTTGGTTTCACATGACACAGACAGCGGGCTCTCAGATGAAAGTGCAGAGTTAATGCGACCTATCCACCTCCCCTCCAGGCACCCTCTGCAGGCTTTCTAGCTTTTTATACCATGGTAGTTGCTCGAAACATCAAAAAATGCCACCACCCTTTGCATTCAATACCCCAGCCAAAGGGTGCCTCGTGCGTCGGTATTTGACACCAAAGGCCACTGACTAAGCATTGGTATTTGACAAGTTGGGCGTGAGACCGGGTTGTCATGTCTGTGCATTCAATATGAAGCTACAGTGAGTGGCTAGCTTAGCTTAGCATAAAGACTGGAAACAGCCTGTGTGGCTCTGTGGAAAAGAAAACCCACCAAAAAGCACCTGTAGCGATCATAAATTAACACATAACGTCTTGTTTGTTTTATCCACACACAAATCAAAGTCTAAAAACAGCCAATCTGAGCAAGCTGAGCGGCATCAGCCCACTTGAGTCAAACTGTGCAACTTTTCTCTGTAACATTTTGAAACAGTTTTGCCATGTTGCGAATCACTGGTCTGACCTGAGCTTTATGGGGGTTATGTGCCAGGCTATTACTTGACCAGGAGAAGTTACATCCTGGTGTCTTGTCATCACTGTGACAGCAAGAGACGTTAGACTGTTAAATTTAGTCGGTGATTCAATTAAAGTAGTGATGAATCACCAAATCATACATCAATATTCAATCATTCATTTTCCGCAAGGGAGGGGGGGGTTTGGGGGGGCTGGAGCCTATCCTGGCTGACATTGGGCGAGAGGCAGGGTACACCCTGGACAGGTCACCAGACTATCACAGGGTTGACACATAGAGACAGACAACCATTCACACTCACATTCACACCTACAGCCAATTTAGAGTCACCAATTAACCTGCATTTTTTTGGGCAGTAGGAGGAAGCTGGAGTACCTGAAGAAAACCCACGCTGACACGGGGAGAACATGCTAACTCCACACAGAAGGGCTCCCTTACTTCAGGTTCGAACCAGGAACCCTCTTGCTGTGAGGTGACAATGCTAACCACTGCACCAGACATGAGAGTGGTACTGGTCTTCATCTGACTCTCAGGATTAACATGTATCTCCTAAATGTCCAACCACTCCTTTAATATAATGCATACAGTAAACCTGTGTCACCTTCCTGTCCTCCTCTATACAAACCTCTGCCTGATTACTCCTGTAATAAAGATGAATAATGAACTAGCTTCTCACCGTCTCATCACACAGCAGCTCCATCACTTTCCTCTGTGTCTCCGTGGACAGCTCCCCTTCCTCCACCTCTGCACCGCCCTCACTCTTCACTCTGTCCAACTCTGCTCCTCCTGAGTGCCTGCATCACGTGGAGGAGGGGTTATAGTGTAAAGAAAAGAGACGAAGAAAGTGAAGAAGAAGAAGAAGAAGAAGAAGAGGAAAAAGAAAGAGTGGAAGAAGAAGAAGATGATGAAGTAGAAGAGGAAGCAGAAGGAGAAAAAGAAGAATCAGAAGAAGACGTAGAAGATGAAGAAGTGAAGGGGTAGTAGAAGAAGAAGAGGCAGAAGAAGAATCAGAAGAAGAACACGAAGAAGAAGTAGAGGAAGAAGAAGAAGAACTAGATTCAGTCATGCATTATGTCAGTGATAATTAATTATGACTCACTTGATTTGCCTCTGTATGCTTCATGTTAACGGTCTCTGCTAACTGGAGCACTCAGTAATCAGGTTTTGAAAGCTAGCTGACTTACCCGCTCTCAGGCTCTTGATTTTCGGACACAGAGGCTTCAGACGCCTCTTTTGGATCCTTACAAACTTCCGCCATATTAAGATTTGTTGTTGTGTAAAATCTATCGATAGAAACAGTTAAATATTGTAGTAATAATGATAGCAAAAAAGCAGCAGGCACAGATATACGTCTGTGGCAGCAGGTCCGTGTGGCTGCGGTCTGTTTCATAAACGTTGCTATGGCGACAGTAACTGGAATGACCAGTGCTGCCTTCAAGTACTTCTCGTAAGCTCGAAATTTTAAGATAATGTGCAAAAAAAGTTTGTTTTATAAACAACAAAAACTACACATTTAAATTTGATTGTATCTATATTTCACTGTCAGTCCCTCTAATTCTGATCCAGACTTGATTATAGGGTGAAATCATGTAATTTGAGACACATTTTGGGAGATTTACAAGAAAACTAAATTGAGTGCTACTTTCATAACTTGTTATGGTCCTCTTCTATATTTCTATAAGGAAACGGTGTTGCCAGTTAAAGTAATTTATAAACTTTGGGCGGTCAATCACATGGAGAACTCCTACCTCACTCCAATGACCTGCTCAGGTAAAGTGGTATAGCTGGTAAGATAACAGGGGATAGTCATGTTTATTTATTTCTTTAATGGTTAAATCAATTTATCAGTTCAATAATTATTTAGTTAAATCATTAATGCAACCTGTGGCTGGTCATTTAAGAAGATTATCCAACTTTTCTGCCATGATTTCTCTGTTCTGTGCCTATTTCTTTGGTGTCATACTGTCTACAATTATAGCTCATTATGGAATATTGTGGTTGACATGGACTCCCTGCATCATCTTAATATTATTATATTAAATTATATATTATATTATATTATATTATATTATATTATATCACAATAATTCCCTTCACTATGACAGGATGGCACACAGTAGCATAAGTCATGATTTTATGGCACCTACGCCCAAAACTATGCTGGTTTCACTTCAGGAAAATGTCCAATTTCAGCTTATTTTTTTTGTCTCAATTTACCTGAATGTGTGTGGTCCATGTTTGTGTCTCATACTGAAGCTGTATTGAATGGCTGCAGCACTGAAAAAGTTTACAGACAACTGTCTGTAGATTTTTATTTTATTCTATTTTATTTTATTTTATTATGTTTTGTTTTATTTTAAAAGAGGGGGCAGTGACCATGTCTTTTGATCACTATGTGTTTTAATTACTGTTTTGTTTTTGTTTTTTGTTGTTGTCCTGTTAAACACATTAATTTAAAAATTTACTTTTACTTTTTACAATTTACTTTTGCATTATAATGTTGACTTAATGTTTTATTAGTTGCACTTTAAAACTGTACTTTTTCCTGTTTATGCTTTACACCACCTTGTACTATGCGTACTGGCACTACTGCATTCAATTACTGTCATGCCAATAAAGCCTCTTTGAATCTGAAGTGAATGGATGTATGGTTTGGTGCTGTCATCTAGTGGCAACACCAAACTTCAGCATTGCCATTATAAGGTCTTCACCTCCAAGGCAAGTTTTGGACTCCCTGCACAGCACCAGTATTGTCATTTTTTATTTAATTATTGACACTTAATTGGCAATGCTCTATATGATGATTATTAAGGCATTTGAGACCAGAAACAGGCACATTACCTCACAGCATATTACAGGAGAGGTACATATTTACATTTAGAGTGGGGAAAGGTATCATTAAGCATTGCACCCTTACTTTTAAACAAAAAGAGGCATGTCGATTAACTATACTTTTAATGTTATATTGTGAAGCTGACTGTAGGTGGCGCTACTGTCTCATGATCAAAATTCTCCTCAGTTACCACAAACTAATTTCCTGAAACATTTTATTTTGGAGGAGATGCATGTTTCATACATATGCAGATTTAGCGTCCATGGCTCGCTGTCATGTGCTGTTCACAAACAAAATCCAGACTTTATAATTCACACACACACACACACACACACACACACACACACACACTCCAGACTGCTGATAAATGTCTTCTCAAGCTGATGGCAAGATGGGCACTTGTCCACACAAACAAACCCACACATGGGTCAGATGTTCCTGCCCTCAGGAGTGCCCCCTACCCTTCCTGCCTGTTGGCAGCTCTCACGCTCGCCCTCACCCCCCGCCGCACCTCGCCGCTCTTTTGGCCTCAAGTGGCCTCCGTTGCTGCTGAGCCACAAGGGATGTAAGTCAGCCAGCAAAGGTTTCTGACATATGATCCAGCATCTGTGATGTCACCAACAGCTGACTTGTCATAAGACCTTTGTGAAAGAGGGGAGAGGTGGGGGTGGGGGGGGGGCGTAAGGGATGAATGAGGAGAAGGCCTTACTTTCAACAGACCCTTAGCTGGAACGCTGAGTGCTTTTGCATCAAGCTGCAGAGATTACAAACTGAATGACTGCCATTAGAGAGTGATTCTATAATCTATTATAATACCATAAGCTAGGGATTGACAGACTTTGACCCCACTCGCAGGTGTATAATAAGCCCCATTCACTCTGCATATGCTCTGTGAGAGAGGGTGCATGTGTGTGTGTCTGCTAATTCCTACCCCCAGGGGCATATGTTTACTCCTTCTACAACAAAGCATCATATTCATTGCTCAGGGGTTGAGAGGTGCATAATCTAAGCCTAACCTTCAGCCAGTCAACTAACTGACAGCTTAGAGTGTTTGTGGTGGGGAGGGGGTTGCATAACAACTTAAGTCCTGACTAACAGTTTCTTAATATTGCCATAACGAAGGAGACGCTCGCTGCTTCGTAACACGGGACGAGCTTCAGAACACCGAGGAGTCAAGGGTGGCTGCAGAGGACAGCAGAGAATTCAAAGGCATTTAGTCAGAGGCGGTCCTGGCTAGTTTTACGCCCTGGGGGAACCATCCCTCGGACCTGGAGTCGGACTTCTCTGTCACCGGTAAGCCGTTATCTTGCGCCACAGAGAGCTATGAGCCTCCGCCATATTCCTGTCTGTGACCCCCATTCAACCCACAACCGCCAGGATTCACCTTTCCTTTCTGCTGCTGGTTGAAACATGACAATAGGGGCGCCCCAGTGCCCACTCCACTAACTTGACGTGGAAATGAGCGGTAGTCTAGAAAACTGGCAAGTTTTGTTTTTTTGCGCCCTCACATAGATTGCACCCTGGAGGTTCGCCCACATTGCCCATAGCAAAAACCGTCCCTGCATTTAGTCTAGAAGAGGCCATGACCTTGTCAAAGAACATAACAGTCATTTAACAAGAATTAGATTTAATAAATGAAAAAAAGGAAGGCCAGATTCAGAAACAACATAAAGAGCATCCTCCTACTCTTCTATCAAATATGAAATGTGCTGGCCTTGTCTCAAGGTAACTGCTGGAGCATCTATTGCAAACAGCCCCGTCCCCCCCAATGTAACCCTGTTGCCTCTAAATGTTCATCTGCACAGTTTTAACCTTTAAATATTAAGAGAGAGTGAGGGACAAACACAGATGCAGATATGCAGAGAGATAAAGAGGCTCTTACAGGAAAAAAATAAAAATCTATTCTGATGTTGCCTTCATAATTGTTGTGGTAAATAAAATGATCTCAAGGTCCATGCAGCGGAGGCCACTTGGCAGTCTCTTAACGGAGGAAAGGTTTGTGTCATCATTTAAAAAGCATCAACAATCCTCAGTTCACCTTCAGCCGTCATGCTCCAACATTCCTGCCTTATTCAATCCTCAGCTTTAAAGAAGTCATCTAACGAGTTCACACATTAAGCTGAGCACTCAGGAGAAAGGGATGAATGGGTGCACAATTTGAAGGTCTGGATTTATCATAATGTCAATTTTTACTGTCAATGAGCGTTCAAGAGACATTTTTGTTTTTATTTTGGCAAGAAAATGTCTCATAATTGATCGTTTGGCACCACACACAGTGATTTCATCCAACACCTGCTCTATCTGAGGAGGTTTTTAGATGCTGGCTTGTTAACTCAGCTTTCAATATAGAAATTAATCAACAAAAAAAAGTATTTTAGATAAAATACAGCGTTCATTTAAGACAAATTTTCAGTTATATAGGTTGGTTCCCTGAGTACCATTGATGTGCTAAAGGCAGAGGTGGGACCAAGTCACTGTTTGGCATGTCACAAGTCAGTCTCAAGTCTTTGCACTTAAGTCCCAAAACAAGACTGACAAGTCCAGAGTCCTAAACTTTGAGTTTTGAGTCTTAAACAAGTCATAATGTGCTATTCACCAAATGTAATGCCATTTTAACAACACAGTATTCATAAAATAAATAATATTATTAAGTATATTAGCACTAATTTTGGTAAAAAATGTCACATAATTGATCACATAGTATCCCTTGCAGTGATTTCATCTAACATTTACTCTGAGGAGGTTTTTTTCACTCCACTTTCTTTTTAGAAATGAATCAATTAAAAGTTATCTATTGAAACTGCTGGAATCTAGTTTTGGACAGAAATTTGGGATTTCATTGCACATCTTTTAGATGTAATACAGCCGTGCATTTACAGCAAAATTACAGTAACTACAAGTTAAATAGCTACATCTCTGAGCACTGCTAATGCACTAAAAGCAGAGGTGGGACCAAGTCCTTGTTTTGGAAGTCACAAGTACATCTCAAGTCTTTGCACTCAAGTTCCAAATCAAGACTGACAAACAACAACATAATAATGATGCATTAAGTTTAAAAACACCATGAATGCTTTTTAAATGTGTCTTCATGTTGAAACAAGTTTTTGGGAAGTTGTTGCATCTCCATCAGTAATTTTCGACCAGCACATTTTTGCATACTGAAATTAGTTTTTTGTTGAGCATTGCATAGTTTTTGTACGCAAATGAAATTATTCTTTGGTATCACTTTTCCAACTGTTGCTCAGCAACCTAACGTTACGTCTTCATGGTTCTCTCCAGTGACTTCAGTGGATGCTGTCAGATTGGTTCAAAGTGTATCGGGGGTGTCAAGAGTCACTTGCTGGGAAAAAATAATGTTCATGTTAGTTGATTCAGGAAATTAATTGATTGGTTGCTCCCTCTCTCTCTCCCCCTTTCATGCTTAACTGTCCTATCAAATAAAGGCAAAACACCCCAAAAAATTTTTTTGAAAAAATAACATATTTTTTCATATTTAGGCTTGGCGTAAGCTTCCAAATATTTTAAAATCAAAGTGAAGTCACGAGTCATTAAGGTTCAAGTCTAGTTGAAAGTGTGTTTGTTTGTTTGTTTGTTTTTTTAATATTGTCAAGTCTACAGTCATTAAATTTGTGACTCGAGTCTGAATCGAGTTCACGTCATGTGACTGGTGTCCACACCTCTGACTAAAGGTACTGACTGTTTGCATGAAGCAAATTTCAGATTCATTTCTGACCATTTTGAATGTAAATTAAAATGCAATAACTGCCATAATCATTTATTTGCGTGTGTATAAATTGTCTGTTCTAGTGATCATTATTTAGTTTTCTAAAGAACTTTTAACACAAACCTCAGCACATTTTTCCCACTTTAATCCAGCAGAGAACTGGAGCAAGCAGTCGAGATCAGGATATGACTCAGGTTTCCAAATCATATTAATTTCTTCCACATAAACTGTAACACTTACAGTAATATTATTCTCACAGTCATTTTTCTTACCAAAGCTCTTTGTGAGGGGATTAGGTGTACAATAATTATACGTGGCATTAGGCCATGATTACTGCTGGATTGTATTTTTTGCTGCACTGCAGTCAGTTCATGAGAAGGTAAACAAGCTGCCCCCATCATCCCATCATCGCATTGTATCATAAACTGTGACCAAGAAAACACATGCACACTTTGTGGCTAAACAAAAAGGCATATAATAGAAAAGTAAAGTGTGCACACTTGACTTGTGAGGTAAAATTAAAAATGGTCTCCTTGCAGCTAACAAAAAAATCTGACCTGTAACAAAAGCTGTCTCTCAAGGTGAAGTATGAGGGGCCAAAGATCAAGACAGAGCTCAGTATTAAGATTCAAATATCACACCAATGTGGGGCCAACAATTAAATGTCATACAACAAAATCCACAGTATGACTCAAACTTAGTCACTCTGCTCTTTACAGCTCCAAACTGCTCAACTGAAGCTCCTGTGTTGGTCAGTTTGGTAGTACAAGTGTAAATGTGAGAATTAGAGGCAATGCATTGACTTTTTATTCCATTGCTTGTTTGACAGCTTTACAGATTAATATCTTACACATTAAAGCCCCTACAAGGAACTTTCATTTTGAGTTGATTTTGGGGACCCTGTGGACAAAAGCGGTAGTGTTTTGTCGGAATGAAGCCTACATTTCCCATGAGCTCTAGCGCGTATTGTCGTAAAGACGCTTACCTGGCTCGTGCATGTGTTTGTTTTGGGGATGAATGAAACAACAAGACGGGAAAACTTTGCACCCGCTCCTATCGGGGATCCCAGCTCACCTCTGCCGCGCCCCAACTCCATCTCTCCGGCGTAAGCGCCACCGCCGCCGGGGTAAACGCAGCGGTCGGCTATGGCTGAAGGCCTGTTTGGTGAGCACTTCCACGGCTTCTTGGACTGAGTATGGAGCGGTGCCTCGCCTCTTTATTTCTCGGCACTCGATGGATCCTGTCAATGCCTGGCTGGTACCTGTCGTCGGCCCGGATGAGGTGTTCCAACCCCGCGGCCCCTGCTCTCCTCGTCCCCGCTGGCGCGGGGTGAATCTGCACAACCTGCGGCCTCTGTGTGTGGCTCCCCGGACAGCTAACGCCATGGACCAACTGACTTCAGCCAGGATTGGGCTGGTAAATGCTAGATCGCTAGCGAACAAAACGTTTATCCTGAAGGATTTCCTGACTTCCTGAGGATTGGATTTTCTCTGTGT